TCACACGCGTCTTTTCCTCTCTTCCCTTTGTCCTTTGAGCTCTTTCCACGCCCCCCCGGCCTGCTCTTTAGAGCTTGCTCAAGCGATGGCACAGGGGTGCGACATGAATTCTGAAAAATAAGGCGAAATCTTCGGTTGATGGGAGTCCACGGTAAGTGCATACTAGCTAATACCGCTAACCCATCGTTAACATAGGTGCGGGCGGTGCGGGCATTTTGCCACCTCCCATAAAGAAGTAAACGATCAAGTGATCCCCACTTCTTAAACCAGTGAGTAGCCCCCCCCCCTTCGGAGAGAATAAGGCCTAAAGTCAAAAGTGTCAAAACCTACTGCGACCAGGGTGTCATTAAACATTTTCCTCCACTGAGGAGCCTTCGAGCATAACGGTGTTTGGTGTGACACATCCAAAGTCCAGCGGTGAAGCCACCGAATGACCTGTTCCGACGTAAGACTCACGCTTTCGGCAGCACCCTGCCGTTGTCCTCCTTTGGTGTAACCTAAAGCGATCACAGCTGGTCCACGCTCCGAGGAAACAGAGATGCCAGCGGAAGTCAAACCTAACAACTCTCCCGTTCGCAGGACTCCATAAAAGCCCACGAGGAGTGAGATGGCAAACTGGTATTCTTTTTTTGAAAATGGCATACCCGACCATAGTCTGAAGCGCCTCCTCCGGCAAGGGTGGGGTGCGGCTAGGAATTTCGTTGACATTCCAAGCCTTTAAAAGGCGCCAGGTGGACGGCAGCTGCTTCCGAACATTGGGCTGTGCATCCTGAACTCCAGCTACAGTATCTGCAGCTAGGGCGCGGCCATAGCCTTCACTCCACAAATGTTCCACATAGACGCTAAGCAAGCGATCAAGTTCATGAGTTCCACGGGGAAATGCTAGACCTTCGTGCCGCAAGAACGCCCAAAATTGCTCAAGTGCCTTTTCGTATCGGACTCGGGTCTTCGGTTGGACAGTAAGTGATTGCAAGCTACCTAACTCAGCTCTCCGTTTTTTCCTCTCTGCTTGTGAGCATCCTTCAACATGCGCTTTGGCTACTTTACCCATTTTTTCTTGACCGGGTGCCGACTCGGACGGTCGGCTGGGTTGAGCTCAGTGTGAACATACGTCCACACTCCATGTGCGCCAGATGCCAACAAGAGAGAGTTTATCCGGAGGAGCGTTCGTCGAAGCTTTCTACTGCTGGAACGGCCGCGTGCAAGAGCATGTAAGCACACCTGGCTGTCCACAAGATGCAAAAACCGAGTTCTGATCCAACCTTTGCGAGCAAACCTCCACTTGAGTGCAGTCAACACGGCCCTCATCTCCAGAACGTTGATATGTTCAGCGGTACCAGACCACCGCCAGCCACATACTGTCTTCCACCGCCAAAGGTTGGATGGAATGCTTGCACGCAGACGGTGATATCGTTGGACATCTTCTGAGGGGGCCTGCAACAACAGATCCTCTCCCTTACCGCTGACCAAGCCCGTGAGCTTGCGAGCGAGGAGATCAGGTTGCGCTTCACCTGCTTGTCGAGGGACACGCATATACGGTCTCAAGAGAAAGCCCTGGAGACGTGAGCCTCCCCCTGGCTTGCACTGTTGCATCAAGTCTGCCAACGACAATCGATTGCACAACCCACGGGGCACGCCTAAGCAGTGAAGCAGCCACACAATGACAAACACGCACCAGGAGTTGCCTAGCAACGACAGTCGCTCATCTCTCCATGCGTCCCCACGCCTCTGACCTTTGGGAAAACAAGTGGCTGTGTATCCTCTAGGAAACCCCATCAGGACTTCCCTTTCTTCAACGGAAGGCAGGCGGACTTGTCCATGTTTGTTTTGCACGCAGAAGTCACGACGGTACTGATAAGGAGGGAAACGATGGAAGTCCTCGTACCACCTCTGTAACTCCTCCGCATTGCATTGCTGCACCCCTGCGGGTCTCCGGCCTGGAGTTGGCCTAGGCCTACTGGTAGTGAACGTAGGGAAAGGTAACGGACTGCACTTGCTCCACCCAGGCTCCAGAAACTCACCTTCCCCATATGGGGCCTCTAGCTTCAGCTCTGTTACCTGCGCCCAGCCTTCTCCTGTGACCGAGGAGATGGAAGAACCATTGCCATCTTCCAACTCCCAACTCGGCCAGTAGAGACGTGGTCTCCTACATCCAGTAATTCCAGCAGCATCGATCAGAACCGGTGTGGTCCCTGCGGATTGACTCATTACTACCCGATCAGCATCATCCATGGATCCTACTGATTCCATCAAGCGGTGGACCTGAGCCCAAGGAAAATGGGTCCTGAGCAAGTCAGCAATGCGTTCGACATGTGGAAACAAGGAGCTCCGGTGATCTCGAAGCGCACCACGCCGGTCTGCATTGAGCCCTGACACTCCTTGACACGGTGGCCCCGCTCCCAAGAGCACGGCACTGACCTGACTAAATTGGCACGCCCACGTCTTGACCATCTCCTCATCGACCTCCTCAACTGAGCTAACAAACAGTGTATGGGGAAAGCGGCTCTCGACCACCCGCCTTGCCGGCGCGTGGCACTCCACAGAAACATGTCCGATCACTGTGAGACCTACAGCATCAGCAGCAACACGCAGCCCTCCAATGCCGTCAAACAAGCCCACAGTCAAAACAGTGCTAACATCCTCCATTTCTGCAATGTCACCTCTAACTTGTAGGTTGGCCGCGATGGTTCCTACCGTGGAAAGCCCACACGAAGCAGTCACTCCTCCACCAGTTGTTGACGCGTCCGACGCTGTAACAGTGCTCGACAAGGCCAGCCTAAAATTCATCCGCGCCAACGGGCTCAGCAAGCAGAAGCGGCTCAACTCCAGGCGAACCCCATCAGGGATTTGTTGAACGAAGGGTCCTCCTTCAAAGCTCTGGATGAAAGCCCACACCTGGTTCAATGCACCCAACAAGGGTCTACGGAAGGTACAGAAGTAGACAAAGCCTCCAGCCACCACCTGCATTTGCCGCTGGGCGCACTTCCCCGCCATGAGTAACAAGTGGCACAAGCGCAAGTACTTTGCCAACTTCTCTGCTTTCGGGGACGCAACACCTTTCTCACCGTCAACCTCGGCACCTTGAACCTCGGCATGCATAGCCCTCGCAACAGCCTTCTTGGGATGCCTTGGTACCTGCCGCCTGGCATACGCCTCACGCAATGCCTCAACGAAAGGGGAACAACTTCCTTGGATCTGCTCGGCCAGCTCACTGTGTGTCTTCTCCAATAAGTCAAAGTTGTCCAAGTAGACCCGGAAAGAAGGATTGCTCCAACTAAATGGTCGATCCTTTCGATGCTCTGCCTCCCAACCCGCCCTTCCACCTTTTTGGACGCATTCTCGGACGGCTTCACCCACGATGAACCGGTGGATATGCTGGGCGAGGGAGACAGAGTTGCAGAACCCCATCGGCAGTACCCGACTGCATAAGTAGTATGGCCCCTGCTGGTCTGGCCAAAGCCTACGTGGTGCCTTGCGCCCAAACGCCAGGAAAGAGTGCCAGTCTTTGGGAACCGTGAAAATGTAAAAGAAACACCTCACATCTTCGGAACTCAGCAAGAGGGTCTCACCATCCTTGAGGTCAAAAGGGTGCATCGACGGCCAAGCCGGCAAAGTGCTAACATCGCCGGCCATCGGTCTACATATGCGATTGAGCGGCACCAGGTTCATAATCAGCCTGTGGACTTGCGTGTCACCGACGGCCTCGTCCTTGGGAACGCCGAAAAGTCCGTTGAACAACCGTTGCCCCTGCACAACATGGACCTCAGACTCCCGTATCAGGCTGCACACTCCCCTGGTGAGGAGCCCTTCGCACAGGGCATCCCATGCACCCTCTGGGACCATAACTCGAGGAGCTTTGGTGAAAACTTGGTCCTGTTCAGGCATCAGGTACGTGCTGAAGTTCAGGGTGTAGTGCAATGACCCCTTGGTTACCACACTCTCCAAGGGCACTGTGCCTACTTCACTGGGTAAGGCGTGCCTGACGTTTTCCCAAGTCGTCATTTGAGCCACCTTCACCTCATCGCCTTTGTAATCTATGGTCCTCACCGCCATATACTCCTCCCAACTCAGATCAGGGAGGTTCGGGCACCTTGCAACAAAATCTTTCGCCTCCTCAACCAAAAACATGCAAATTTTTATGTGAGCGGACGACACTTTAAGTGTATCTGCAGGGCCACTGCCATATAACGAATTGAGAGCACTCATCAACCCTCTCAACACCAAACCAACCGAACGATCAACAGACTTGAAAGAGGGGTGTTCCATGAGCAAGTCAATGGGGAGAGGCAAAAGTTCTCCCTTGGACTTGACCTTGCAAAGCGTGAACAATGACAGGTCACGGATCCAACCCTCCACGAACGAATCGACAGTACGAAGACCCTGCTGCGCTCTTTTTTCTGCATCCATCTCGGACGGGTGAAGTTGCAAGCTCGCCGAAGTGGCACCTTCAGCGGCTCGACCTGTACCTGGCCACGTACTCAAAGGCGTAGCCAAAACCCCAGACTCATATGGTGCGTTCTGGGTCTCATCACTAAGGGCATCTGGGCAGTGTAGTTTGGGCATAGGTTCACTCATCCTCTTTCTGATCTTCCTCAACTCCTCAGAGATCTCATCTTCTTCCAGGCGTCTCACTTCTCGGCTTTGTCTGTTCGAGCGCGATCTTTGTCTCCTCCTTTGTGTTTCCCATCTTTGCTCTTCCCTTTGCCTTTTCCCTTCTCGCCCTTCGATTCGCTCTTGCCGCCCTTCCAGGAGTTGTCCCAACTCCCCTTCTGGAGGTTGCGGCTCTTCTGCTCCTCCCGATTCTCTCGGGCAACCGCTGTAGTTTCGGCTTGTGAAGCAAGATGTCCTAAGTCCATCGGCACCACTTCGAAGCGCTGGGCTATCTGCCAGGACGATCCGCTGGCCATGCTTTCCAGTGATTTCAATCTCTGAACTAAAACGTCCGCTGCATAAGCTGGTTGGCAGCTCAACAGCGCGTCCAGCGCCGCTGAGATGTTCAGAGCTTCCCTGGACATAACCGGTGTCATCTTTTGACGTAGGATCTGTCTGTAAAATTGGAGGCCCACTGGCCCCACCATAGCCCCCTCTGCAGTCTCGTGCCCCTGCTCTTGCAACATCTGATTCCTCATTTGGCGGATTGCATGGTAGGCCAAGGCACCTGGTCCGGCTTTTGCCGCCAACTGCGTCCTCTGACTTTCTTGAAACAAGTCCTCCATCCCCTCTGCTGCCTCCGAAATCGAACTCGCCCCCGATGAACTTGAACTCTTCGACCTCCTCTTCATGGCACGCCTGGCTAGGCGCGAGACCTTTTTTCGAGTTCGTGCATCTTGGTCCAACCCTGTCCCTTTGTAAAGGGCCGCATGCTCCTTCTTTCCTGCCGGCTTGAACGCGCGCTTCTTCTTCTTCTTCCTCACCTCGCTCGATTCGCTGGAGTCCTTGATCTTCTCCTCCTCGCCTGCCGCCTCCTCTCGGGGTCTTTTCTTCTCTTCTCTCCCGGCGGCTTCTCCTCGAGCCGCTGCGTCGGATCTCGCTGCCAATCGTCTCAACTCCTCCATGCCACTGGCCTCCTTCAAGTTGTCGCTCCAACCGGGAGCCTCCCTGCCTCGCTGCTTCACTCGCTTGAGGTGAAGGATATCGTCCCCATCTGGGACGTTGGAGCAATCCGGAAGGCAGATGTGGCACCGAAGAGGTACACCTGGACTCCCCGACACCCATCGTAGCAAGCCCTCATCCTCGGTCCCGGTCACTCGGGCCAGTACTTCCAGAGCTCCGCCCTGGAATCGAATGGACTCCACCTCCAGCGCGACCTGAATCTCCCGGTTGTAGTAGGCTCCCACTCCCAGGAGTTGGAAACCCGGTCTCCATACTCCCACTGGGATCTGATGGCCTGCAACTTCTCCTCCTTCTTCGAACGTGAGATCCTCTTCACCGGCAGCTGCCGGTCTTCGACGTAGAACACCTCGACGACCCTCTCTTGCTTCACCTTCCTCTGCACCTCGGTCCCTTGGATGTCTCCCAACGGCTGCTGGTCTTCTCAGCGGCCTAGGAGGCATCCAGACCGTCCTCACTTCCTCCTCCCTGCCTCCTCACGGCTCTTCTTCTTCTCCGCTCTCCTTTCGGCCACGAATTCTTTGAAATACTTTTGAGTCTCAACCTTCTTTTTGCCTTTGTTCTTTCCTCTCTCTGAATCGTCAGGCTCCTCGTAGGGCTGGAATGTAGGCCTCTGGGCTGCCACCAACTCGACTGGTCGTCTGCCTCCTCGATCACGGTCTTCCGTCCAGCCCGGAGGGGGCCTAGGTGGAGTCCTTGGTCGAATGACCTTGCGAGATGCCTCAGCCTCGTCTCTTTCCTCAAGTGCACGGCTTCCTCTAGCCTCGGGTGTTCTTGAACGACTATGTGCACTCCTTCTTCTCCGATGGGAACTCTCCCCTCTTCGCCTCCTGTCTCTGGGGCTCCTCGATCGCGCTTCTCCGCTCCTCCTTTCTGTGTCGCCGCCTGTGGTGAGGAGATTTGTCTGAAACCTCCCGTACACCAGGTTCCTGATCAGCCTCCTCTGCTTCTTTCTCAACCTGGTCAGCCTCTCTCTTCACGCTGGTTCGTCCTGTCTCCTCACACTCCTCTTCTTTTGGAGCTGCCTTGCTCTTAGCCGATAAGTTCTTTGCCCGGTTGTCCTCTGAGTCCTCCTCTTCTTCCAAGTCTCTGTCTCGAGGATGATGTTCACGTCTTGCACTTGAAGCCCTCTCTGAAACCTCTCGCCCTTCTTGGTCTTCACTCCTTTCCTTACCTGCCCTTTCTACTCCTGTTGCCCTTTCTCCTGCTTCTCGCCTTTCTGGATCTCCTTCTGCTCGTCCACCTCCTTTCCCACCGTCACTCCCCCCAGCCCGGGAAGGAGGGTGTGCCAACCCCTCCCCTGTCCCAGGCTGGTGGGCGTCCACAAAGTCGCTGAGCTCACCGATCAAATTCCGGACTCTGACGGTGGCAAAGTCCAGAAAGGCCTGGGTAGCGCTCGAGAAAGTGCCCGCTCGAATGATACGATGAAGTCGCACCACCGAGGGACACAGGCTGCAGCGGCACGCGGGGTTGTGGCCCCACATGCGCGAGCCAGAGCTGCGGGGGAAAAAATTCACTCAAGCTTCACACCGTCTTTAGATACGGGGCCGTATGTTCATATATATGGACTCCAGCATCTGTTGTTTGCGGAACGAAATTAGCATCAACTAATTAGCAAGCTGAGCCAAGGGTCGTACATGGCCTGGACCAGTAGAGCCTTGGTTGGATGGGAGAGCATTCTGCACATATCCGGTATATTACCTTCGACTGGATGGTTGAAACATGACATGCTGCGAGGCTCGGTTCTTCAGCCAATATAGCAACTGAATGGGTTGTCATGATTCGTCGTAAAATGGAGAGCGCTGTGTACCCCAGGGTGAACCCTCCCACAAGCCACAAGAGCTCCTATGACTTAACAAGACTTTTCCGCCCAGCGGGCTTATCACAACTGGGAGCACCAGTTGCAGTTTGAACCTCCCATGGATTGACTATGTTTGACTCTTTGGTTTGGTTCAACCTATTGAAGCGACAACACATCTCAGATGTCTCGTTTCGAGGTTCGGCGGGTCCAAACTCGCTACCTCCCTCCACTGGCGACCACTCTGTAAAGGCCTGCAACGCCTGCACAAAACGCCAGGTCCGTTCGCCGGGGTCCACCACCATGGTCAGCCCAGCGAGGAACAATGTCTTTCTCTTTATATAAGTGGCCTCGCTTCAAGGGTGGGGGCATTGATTTCCACCGCGGGAAATCTTGCAGGCACCAATTTTGCACTCGCGTGCAGGTGGACCCGGGAATGAGAGAGTTCTCTGATTCTTGGGCTGCACCTCACGGTCGGCCAAATCCCGTGGCCGCAAGCCAATGCAAACGGGGTCCCCGTCAGTGAAGGTGAGGCACTTGTAAGCTTTCGACGACATAAGTCCTTAATGCGACTGCAGGGACCGCAGGGACTGCGTGGAGGAGGTGCTCCAGAAACCCATGGGATGCCGTGATGGAGGAAAAGGACTCTCCAACAGCTTGCCGACCGTTTGCCGACGGAAACTCTCTCTCTCCATCGCCCTCTCCAGGTGCCAATGGAAACGGTTGCAGGTGAAGCCTGGAAGCCTGGGGAGAAGAAGACTTAGAAAGGACAAGGTTCCTCTATGATTCCTCTTAACGTCATCTCCTTAACGTCATCTCCTGAGTCCTAACATAGTCCTGTCTCTGTCTGTCCTTGGGGCGAACTCTGGGTGTTGACGCTTCTGAGTCCCCAATGGCCAGTTCAGCATCATCTGCCACAGACTCTTATGGATTTGCCCCCCGTGACGGGCCAAACGGGTGAGACAGATCAACACCTACTGCCCAAACATCGCGTAGACGCATCGCGCGCACAGCGTGGACGGCTGCCAGGCATCTTTCCTCTTTTGCGTGTTCTCGACGCCAACACCACCTAGTGAATACAACTCACAAAGGAGAGGATCTCCACCCGTAGAATTGGTGGGTAACCCAGTGAACAGGCACCGTCAGCGACATCAAAAGGGCTAAGACGTTCTTGGTGAAAGGAAACAACAACGTATGAAGTTATGCCCAGAAGCAACTACCCACATGCTCTTCTTCCCAAATGTTGCTCAGTACCAATGATTATTTCTTCTGAAATTTGGGCTGTGTGTCCATTAACATGTTATTAGTTCAAGAAAATGAATCCCACACACAGCTGCAGAAGATGTTTAAACCACATCCCTCTGTGAGGCACCCTGGATCAAATACAATATCGGAAGCCCACTGGCGATATCTGAAGTAGCCCCTGTCACCGGTGTCGGGTGGCTCCAATATTTGGCCAGGGACCATTCACCGCAAAGGGCGATCGAGCAAGGCGCGCTGGAGACACAGAATTCCTCAGCACGTCGTGAAGCTGAACCGGTCATGCCTGATACAGGAACCCTAGGCCTCCAAGTACCTTCTGAGAAGGTGTTTGGGGTGGGTTTGGAGGGTCTAAATACCTTCTGAGGAGGTACTTGGAGGCCTGATACAGGAAGGACATGTCCGTGCGTTTTTTGGATTGGTGCTTTGCACGGGTTGGGTTTGCCGGATTGGTGCTTTGCACGACCAATTGCCCAATTAGCCCAGGGTCTTCGTTTAAGAAAACCCCTCTGTAAATCTGTGGCTTGTATAGTTTCCAAATGTTTCCAGAGTGAAATCAATGTCTATGCTATCGAATTCCTAGCTGCTCAGAGGTGTTGGACACTTTGGTTGCCAAATGTTTCGGACATCTTTAACACTCCTTTGAACGCTTTCAACTTTCCAAGAAGCGCTCAGGTGAGTTTAAAGAGGAACATGGTTCCTCTGTGTTCCCATCTCGAGGTCTCAAAACGAAAAAAAACAAGACACATCAAACAACTAAGCAACTATAGGCCAAATGGCGCCGTTTCGCGTCGGTCGTGGTTCTCCCCCCCAAGAGCCAAGGCCTCCCGTTCCAAGCTTCGCCGTGGGGCCACCCATCGGCATCCTCCAGTCGAGACCTTGGTGACGGCGCGTCAGGGCTGTGAGAGGAAGTTGGAGGTAGCAAGTAGTCCATTCCCGTGTTTGACGAGCAGAAGATCCACAAACAAATGTTTCACAAAAGAGTGTCAACTTTCTCAAAGAGATGCTCCCATTACCATCAACCCAACATAATATATCATAATATTGTTGTTTCGTAGTGCAGGGATGTGCAGGGTGTTTACATAACACTTGTTGTCTGGGGGGAAGCAAAAAGGTTGCACCTATAACCAATAATCAGTCGACATGCCAATCATGCCAATCAATCAATCAATCAATCAATCGACCAATCAACCAATCAATCAATCAATCAATCACAATAGTTTCATCTTTTATGTGCATCTCGAACACCCGGCAAAGTCACTACACACACGGCCATTGTGGGAGCTCCCAAGGTAATTGTGCCCCAAATAGGCCCAGATACTCTGCTCGAAGATTTGTCTTTCTCTCTGCGTCGGCTGCATCAAGTCCCTCAACTCTTTCAGATCGCTACGGACCGCAGTGATCCTCGGCAAGCATCAGTGGCCCAAAAAAGGACTGAGCCTCACGCAACCTAGCCATACCTAGCCAGTGCATGATACCCAAGGTCTCAACTGAACATACTGGAAATGACATTTCAATGTTATATTTCTTTATTGTTATATATGTTAGGCCTTTGTGAATGTTCCACCACTGTCTTCAGAACGAATCCTTCGTCCGAAGAGCTACTCAGCTACTCTCCACAAATCTATCAGAAGCTCTTCAGTTCTTGATGGACCGCCCGGCCTGGATTCAAATTGTTTGTCAGTCACTTCCATTTAGTGCCATGTTGCTGGGGCAACAAATCCGCTGTAAAGAAACATGCCATTCCACCCAATCTCCATTGGTCTGCCTCCCCCGTTTTGGTCGCCCTCTGCCTCCGGTCCGGTGCCCCAGTTTTATGTGCTCAGAGTCGATGTGACGCGCTCTTGCTGCTCCTGGCTGATCTTTCCAGTCACGGCGTTCAAGACCTTGGGGCTGCGGGGCGAAACAGGTCTCTGCGAGGCCAGTGCCAGCGCGTCGCTACTAGCAACAAGTGCAACACTAGTAACATATTGTGTAAACCTCTCTCCCTCTCTCTCAAGCGCTCTCTCTCTCTCTCTCACTCTCTCTCTCTCTCGATTCGATGCCTTGTTTTGAAGAGTTCATTGTGAGTTCGCATCACTTTCCCTTCGCATGGCCCGGCATGGCACCAAAGCTAGATTTTCTCAGATCTTATGCCATACCTTCGTTCACTACTTGCTGGGCACGCCGGTGGGATCCAAAGCTCGGCACTGTGCTTTTCACAGCGGACAGTCCGTTAGATCAGGTATGTTGCGAGCATGAATTCTCCAAGCGTCAAACTAAGGTATTAAAACAACTTAGGTGTTGTGGTTCCCCGACCATGAATGAAGGTGGGCACGTAGAAGAACATTCAATTCATAGTGTACTTTCTTCATCGTGTCCACTCACTCTTCACATGTGAACACTCCCCCAAAAAGAAGTGCTGTAGGCTGCAAGAGGGCAACACTGAGAATGGTCCAGAATGGTAGATGGAGCTTGGACGTGACCCATCCTTATACAAAACATCTGTGCCGATTCTTAAGTGATGGAGATGGAAGCACTTTGCATCAATCTGGAAGCTTGACATGGCTCCCCTATCACCTGGGCCTTCAACAAAACACTTATATAGCATATATCTCAGTAAATATTAAGTAAAGGTAGTAAAGTAGCACGGACACATAGCATCGACCGGCAGCACTGCCTTCCTATGTCGAGCCACTGCATCTGTTTCGGCGGTGATGCTGTCGTGAAACCTCAGTCGAGCACGGGGCGGCCGTCGCCGCCGTCGCGGCCGTCGCTCCGAAGTCCCAAGCGGTCAGTCGCTCCAAGCATCACCGAGCCATCCGAGATGGCAAAGCTGGTTGTTCAACGGCCAATGATAAGCACAGTGTGGCACCCCGACATGCCCGACATGCCCTATATGATCCTTGAAGTGATGCTCGGCAAAAGTGATGCTCGGCTCACCTCATGCATTGCTAAGTTGGGGGAGCATGGGAACCTAAGACTGAAACCTCTGGCAGTGGCAGTGGCCAATTGACCCTCAGTAATTATCAGCCCCTCCACTCTCCTTTCCTCCTTTCGCGCCGCATGAAGGAGGAGGTCCAAGGCTGGTTTGATCGTCTTAAACATTTGGGGGAGAAACATGGGTGCGCAAAGAAGAGTATGCTTCGATTGCGCGTATCACCTGCCACTTGCTGCCCCCACTGCTCAAATCTCAGCGGCTCTCGCTGCAGCTGATCTTTGAGTGCCTTCAAGCCGTCAGCGTGCGCCTAGGCAAAGCGACGATGCCAAGTGAAGGTGGAAATACACAAAGCCGTAGGCCCACCTCACATGTATTTACTGTGGCACTGGGGTTGTCACCTGTATCACTTGCATGCACGATGTCATGGCACTGGTCATCGGTGCTACCAAGACTCTCTGAAGGATGATGGGCAAGGATGATGGACAAGTCCAAAACGTTCAGCAAATGTCAGGAAGCAACTCATCGCCAAGCAAAACGCCAAGTGGGAAGGATACCAGAAAATCTTCAAGGTTCTAGATTTGCGCTGGGGTCCTGGGCGATTCTTGCCAAATACAGGAATTATAAATTGGGTACTGTAAATCTGGTATAGTCTTTCGTAGTGAGACATCTGATAAATTCCGATAAATAGCTTCCGAACTGCACAACGCCAAGCAGCTTCTTGAGCGAGTGACAGGGACCTCAGCACGAGCCAAACGGGCCTACAACGTTAAATAACAAACCACCAGTAGTCAAGAATCCGGAAATAGATACAATAATCCTTGGCCTACCCAAAGGGGAATGTTAGTTTTCATGTTTCCTTCAACCAAAACGAAATGGACTTCTGAGCCAAAAGTACACAAAGGTGGCCATGTATACTAAGCGGCTCATTGTGCTTCTGTTCTATGTTCGTGGGTGGAGCATGGGAAACTGCTTGTAAGATCGTACGGCCTGAAGACCGGCAAAAACAAAGGCACCCAAACAAAAACCCTGTAGGCGAACAGCTACTCTGGCTGGGGCTGTGAGGGGCGCAAGTCTCACAGAGAGAACGCATCAATTATATTACAGTATATAGATGGATGCGGACAAGAGTCTTGATCTCACCACCCAACCTCAGCGAACAGGCGGTTTATCATGGGTGTTCTGTTCCCTAGGGAAACAGCTGGATGACATGTTGAAACATCAAATACCGTAGTAATTCAATTACTGTCCAATCTTCATGCCAGAAAACAACCAACAACTTGAATTAACAACTCAAGTTGACATGTTCTAATATGTGTTCTAAGCACTTTTGTGTGTGTTGTGGACTAATCACGGCTTCATCCCAAAGAGCAGGGATGTTGTCTTGGACGCTGTGTTTCTGAACCCCTTTCCCTGAGTAGAACATGAACAAAAAGGGATAAACCTGGGGTGCACGTGGAACCACCACAAGTCCGCCAAGCCCGATCTTCAGCCCTCGAATTGGGGGCTTCCTCTCACAGGCAACCAGCGATAGTTTACACTCCCTGGAATCTTCATGGAAGTGGACAACTACTGGTTTGTAGAGGAAAATGGTGCCATCAAAGTTTGGAATTCTCTAACTTGATTCAATGGCCGGACCCGCAATCACCAGGTTTGACCAGGTATATATGACTTGGGCTGAATGGGCTGTTGCATTTACCATCACTACTGGGCGCACTTGCCCATGGGGTTCGATAAAGAGCAAGATGAGCAAGGCCCATTTTCTTATGAGCAAGAGCATTTACCTTCACTCTTTCCAAACTGCTACCAATCAGGTTTGCGACACGCATATGCTTTCCGTCAAGTGGTACAGTTCCTTGGAGAAATATCCTCCTTGATGAGTCTTTTGCATTTGGGCTTTGGTCATAAAAACACTGGCTTTCTTTCAGACTTACGCTGCATCAAAGAATCAAACACAACCATACACGTCCATCAACATGTTTTACCATGTCGCATCACAAGTTTTCATCGTTCGATATTCCCCTCGCTCTCTGAATGGGATTGATCTCAACGGAGATGCTGCCAACATATTCCAAAAGAAAGTTCGTAAAATGATGGTTCGACATAAAGATCTTGATTCGCTCTTGGATTGGCCCCCGCCGAATTGGCTCCAACCTTTTGTTCGCACACCCGGTCTCACCTCTATGTATTCCGTAGCCTTTCTTTTGGTTCTCTGGTCTTTAAATTGGACTCCCTTCCTGTTTCTCATTCGCATTGCGATCGGGTTCACAACCTACTCGACAACCGGCTTATGCCAAGGGGTTGAGTAGCAGGACAACCTCGTCTTAAAATTGTCATCCAAGGGGCCATGCCATCCACTGGCATGATCATTCCAAACAGTAGACTCTCCCTCCAAATCATGAGAGTGGATGGCATGGCCCCTTGGAAAACAATTGCAATTTTCCTCCCAAAGCCTTTATTGTTCCACTTCCATCTTTAGCCGAAAAAGCCCTTCAAGCGGTAGATCTCCACGACCCCTTTTCTTCCAATACTCCTCATCTGGTGCCTTTCCTGTGCCTTTCCATGGGTTCGAAATAAAGCCGGGCAGCAAGGAGTCCTGGCGTTGCGACCGAGTCTACGCGACTGGATGTTGACATGATATGATGCAACTGGGCCGCGACGGGATTTCCACTACTTGTCAACACTCACCATTGCACACATGTCGACAAGTTGCAACAGAGGTTTCAACAACGCCAAAGATGGGCCGAAGAGGCCATGTAGTATGACAAGCGCCTCTCCCAGGGCATAGGGTGCTTGTCAGTATATCGAACATATGACACGTCAATTCATCCAAGTTGTAGCTTGCCAACTTTACCAAAATGTCACGACAAAATCTTCCTCCCAATATTTTGATATATTCTTACTGTGACCATGAAACTCATCCACACTTCTCTTTCATGCCACGATATTCCAATACCACGAACGGTGTTCTGAACGTTCATCTAGAGAATCTAGTGGCTGTAGATGAAATGTAAAATGATGTATAGAGTCTAGAGTGCATATTAGTGACGAATTCATGCCATATAAAAAAGGGGAACAAGCTCTGCGGTCAACGCTCCATCCCAGCACGGTGGTCAACCCGTCCGCCTGGTCGGCCCAGTGCCGTGCGTTCTGCGCGCACTGATCCTGGCGATACGCGCCGTCCCGAGGGGAGGCATCGCCACTGTCCCTAAGGATTGGGCGGTTGGGGGAAAGGATTGGTTAAAGTGGTTTCTTGTCGTCCATCCTCTTTCACATGGTGAGCTTGAACAATTACGGCGACATGAGTGAGCAATTGCCGACCTCCAAAGGGTAGAACGACCATGCCCTTTCACTCTGAAAGAGCAGTACATAGTAGAAAATAAGTTAAGAGAAGAATGCGCGTCTCGGCCCTGACAACTGGTGGGCATCTCCACGATGATCATCTTCACAGCATCCGAATGGTCATCCAGGATACCAGGCGTTGCAAGAAAACACAGTGAGACTTCAGTTTCTCCAGACCCCACGAGAATGGCATTCAACTACTCAGTCAACTATATTTAACTGATCAATGAACCAACCAACGGATCCAACACCGAAGGTACCGTTTGTTGCATGACCGTTGACCAAACTGCTGTCCAAAGGCAGTACTCTTGGAACAAACTGTGCCTTGAGCTCGATGAACTCTTTGCGCCACGGCTCAATCAAGGCACTCGCCACCTGGTTCATTCACCCAAACCCAGTGGAGCAAAACAGACACAAATGGACCTATCTCGGGTACATAAAGAAGCTCAGAGGGGGTATGGCAAATTTAGGCTGTTGATTAGCAATTAGATGGTATAGTAGGGGGCTTTGTTAATCAATAGTCTACAGACTGACTCACTAACATGGAAGTGGATGGCAAGGTCCCTTGGTAGACGACTTTCCTTTCCGGACAGGGAAGTTTCACTTCCACGTAATGTTAGTGAGTTGGAGTGTACATTCTATTTTCTGAAGGACCTCTTCATTTCCCACCCTTCAAAATGCCGGTCCCGTGAAAAGCGAAAAGGATCAGCACGGATTCATGGCCCAAGCCACAAGCTACTCAGCTGCTGTGAAAAACATTGTTTAAGCCCTCATGTTTTGTTTCATCCATGGATCAAAAACCAAAGATCAGAGCAAAATCGGATCTTGGAAGTACTCAATGTACATCTTGCCGTCCAGCTCTCTCCCGCTCTCAACCAAACACGCGAGCCGTGCTCGCGTTTTCACGCACCTCCGGCAAGGTGTCAGACAGCATCGTCTTCTGTGTGCCTGCAGAAAATGCGACTCGGTCCGCCGAACGGTCGTTGCTACGAACAAGCGTGCGTGGATGGCATCCTGCGCTAAGTTGTGTGGGAAGGAGACTTGGATCTGTGTGAGTCACCGAAAAAGCATGACGAGTCCATTCCGAATTGGATCACCTGATCTGAGCAACGTTGTCTTTTTGCTATGTTTGCCCGAGCTCCTGTCATATTAAAACATATCTATATGCAGGCATGGGAAGTTGATGAACTCTTCCATGGTGTGTTCAACATAGGGATTTTATTGTATTCTGTAGAAGCTTGGCTCTTGCACCGCATATAGTATATAGTATAGACAAATGGTCTAGAAGGGGAGCACTCATGTATACCCAGGACTTGGCTTGTAAAGCCACACTGTCACCCCAGGCATGTGCTTTTGAATGAAACCAAACCAGTTTCCAGGGCCACATCTCATTCATCAGCGCAGTCGTTCAGAAGGCCTTCCAACTTGTCAAAGGACGTTTGCAACTCTGTGAACCTCAAATGCCAAGCTTGAGACCGGCAGCAGGTTCTCAACAGATCCGGGCCTTCGTTCCTCCACTACTTCTGAGAGGCAAAATTGTTCATCAACAGCCCACTGCTCAGGGTGGTATGCTGGCACAACACGTGCGCAGGAACAATCAAGCACAAGGGATCCGCAATCAAGGCATGTCCTCAACTCTTCTATGTTCTGGACCTGAAGACTTCCAAAACCGCATGTTTTCCTGCTCAAACAACGCACCAAGTGACAGTCGGTGAGTTTCACGCTGATGAGCAGCACGCCGAGTTTCCATGCAATCCTGCAGTTGAAGTCTGGACACAAGGGGTGAGGATCTGCAATACAGATTTTGGGGGCCCCCAATATGAGGAGCGCAGGCTGGTTCCTGCTTCTCTGGGCCATCCGATGCAGCGAAGCCGGACCCGTCTGCTGGCCATCGTGCATATCCCAAGAGTCGATGCTTACTTGAACCATCTTGAACATGTTTAGTGTGAACATAATCGTAGGTCGTAGGTCGTAGATATCTGGAATTTTACAGGTCGAACCTCGCTCTAAAAGGAAACCTCTGGCACGCATCGAAGGAATTCCCGGTGACCAGGCACCCGGCCGCCATCTCGGCACATCGAAAGGCACGGAGTTCCCAAAGTCCTCAAAGTTCCCAAGCCTGGTCTCCAGCTGGTCAAACTTACTGGCAGATTCCTGGCTCGAAGCCGGACAAGAAGCCGCAGGTGTTTGATGTTACGAGGAGATGCCATTTTGGGGTCACAGCTACAAGTACTGGGCATGATTGGGCACCGGCCGTTGTTCGGTGCAAAGAAATTGTTGCCGGAGCAGTTCTCAAACGACGAGTAGGCCCCACCCCCGCATGAAATCCGTGCTTGTCCCAAACCACAACGGTGATCGCTCTATCCTGAAGATATCCAAATGACAAAATCTTCTAGAGACTTGAGAGAGGACGGGGTGAACGAAAGGTAGCAGGCAATCACAAGTAACCCTGGTAGAAGACCATGACGGCGTGAACCGGCGCAGGGTGGATTTGATCCGGGGGGCCCCCCCCCCCAACGAACAGAATCATCTCTTACAGGACCAAACTCAATGCACAATCCCAACTCCTGATTGTAATACATTTTTGCTAAAGCAAGGAGAACTCAGGTAGCTCAAGCTACCTTTCGTGAATTGGACATCGATGTCTTTTAATTACATCCCAGGCCCCAGTAGCCCCAGTAATTACAAAGTCACGTGGAACTCCTTTCCAAACCTCTACACTCTACACTCCGCCAATGAAGGACCTGATCCTGCATCCTCCTGCAACCCTGCTGCCCAGTCGCGGAGAAAGTGGCCAACCTCGGACGTGAACAAACGGGTGGAACACGGAAGTATACCAAAAAGGGGCCCACACTCATGCGCTGGCCTAATCAAATTGGACGCACATACATTCCCATTTCGTGCAACAGTGGATGATGAACAAGAAAAGACCTGTCTGAAAAACGATAATCGTTTACCGACTGTGACGGGACACACCCGGCAAGCATACGCAATCCTACGATATCATACGCACGATGCCCACATGGTGTCCACAATGTCACAATGTTCATCTAACCCACAGGCCCAAGGTTTAAATGTCAGGCTTGGGGAACTCACATGGATGCTCAAAACGGCTTGTGTGTGGTTTCGCATGCTGAGAACTTGACTAGTCAAATATATATATATATATATATCCCCAGAGTGCGCAGCACCTCACTGACTGAAGTGTGAGGGTGACTGGTGATCAGGGGAAAAGCTCGTCCCACCTGGTTCTCTGGGCTCTCCGGGCCGGTAAATCAACAAGTCAATTAGCCATTCCACCATTTGGATGGATGCGTTTCTTCGTGGCTTCCACGCTATAGGTCATGGGGGTCGCATGTCCACAAAGGAATCGCTGCCCCTTGCAGACCAGTCGAAAGGGGTCGACTGAGATCGACCGATGGATCGACTGAGACCGACGAGTGGCTTCTGGCTCAACTCGCTGATGCTGTCATCCAGTTGGCTCTGCCAGGCTTCCTGGGCTTCCTGCGCACAGGAAGAAAATACCAGTGGATTACAATCCCTTGCCCCACCACCCACTATGCTGAGCCCAAGTCTTGTGGCAACGAACGCACCTGAACGCGACAACGAGACTCTCAAAGACCAGCCTCTATCTGCCCGACCAAGGGCCACAGGATCTTTTCAACCCTGTAACCAAATCTGGAATGCCGACACCCCCGTGTTTGACCATGTTGTTTGGAGGTTTTTGGTCTACCAAAGCCACTCAGAAGACCCAGATTCGGCCGAAGATAGCTGAAGGCTGAAGGCATCTCAAGCCACAGGCATGGTTTTGCTTTGGCGCCCACCGGAAAAAACGCCCCTCCGCACAAGTGAGCGTGCACGCTGTGGGTTCGGTTCACCGGGGGTTATACAAACAGTAGTGCCGGAAGTCGGGCCTTGAGGGGTGGAGCATGGCGGAAATCGTTGGTTTGGTTCGGAGCGACCTCGGATGCGACAGACCTCGGATCTCAACCATTCCCATCAGGGTCTTTGGGAGTGGCATTCTTTCAAGCGATTTCCCAAAGGAAAAGTGTCATGTGTGAAGCCACAAGCTCGTCAATCCCGCATCGTTCTCCTCAAAGGATGTCAGCTTGGCACCAGAAGCATCGCGCAAGGCCTGAGTGAATATTTATCAAAGCAAGATTGGAAAGAGTGGCGAGGAGATTCAGCATCGATATATATATATATATTTATTTAGTCGACAACATAACGCAATTTGTTAAAAAATGGATCGGGTATGATTTGGTGATCATGTTCTTGTTCTGACCTGGCCATGCACTTGAGGCAAAGACTTCTCCGACCGGACCCCCTCCAAAAAGGCATGGCCTGACTTCTCAGCGCGCAACAACAAATTGTCCAAACTCCTTTCTATTCAGTCCCTAGGTCCCGAGTGTGTCCTTTCTGAACCGCTCTGTGGTGGGACTGGCGGGCGAACTTCACCGACAAATGTTGTCCCAAATATGGAACGACTTGAAAAACACGGAAAAAAAACAATCAAATGCATCCTCACCCTGAAAAACGACTCCTTCCATTCTTCGGAGATGGCCACAGTTGCCACATCTGCCACTTCACCTTCCAAGAAACTCTAATCTGCTTCCAAACCTCTTCCCTGGATGTCTCCAGCCCTTGGGACATCCTGCACGGCCAAGTCTGGCCAAGTCTTCGATGTTTCGAGTCTTCGTGCCGACTGGCCGGCCGCAAAGCTGTGGAAACACAAGATACAGAAGCCCCCCAAACCATCATTGATGTCTTTTCCTTGGTTTGCTTGGTTTGATCCATCTTGATCCTGTTTTCTGCTTCAAATGCTTCGTCAAATTCATTCAGCAATCAGAAATCAATCCGCAAATGCGCTGGGATTGGGGAATGAACCATCTGTAGGCATTTTTCCAGTCAGGCATGGCCTTTCTTGCTTTAAATAATTAGCAATTTCGGATTTGGTCCATCGCTTAGTCTAGCAGTCTAGCAATGCTTTATTTAGTGTGAATGTGAGTGCCCTCCCAATATCGGGTTATAACTATAATAGCTCCTCCCAAACATTCGGTTCGACTGACCATGTCCGTCGACCTTTACCAGTAAACCATTGAGTCCTCTGCATTCTTGGTGGGCCAATGCGCCTGAAAGGAGCCAAACTGAACCCATGTGTAAATCCCAAAAGGCGTTCCACATTGGAGGATGAGATTGCTTCACTCCCCACAATCCTGACAAGGTGATGTCTCAAATCAAGGCACAGGCCTGGGTCTGTTGAACTCTGTTGTCAAAGTTCTCCCAACCAATGAAAGGAAAACAACGTAACATGACTTGTACCCTTGATGTACAGATATGTACAGTAACTCGCAGGATTTTCACCCCAACGCTCCCCGAAGGCTCGCCGCGGCGGCAGTGCGGATGGGTCCGCTCCTTGTGGTTAGCTCCTCTAGGGCTCGAAGTTCGCTGGCCTCGGCAAGTGATATGGAAGCAACCTGGCGATGGGCCACGGGAAACATACGCACTTGGTGTCCTTTCCAGTTTCGGCATGCAAACCTAACATCCATATAAACGAAAAGTGTTATTACTTGCTGTAAATAATCATTGTAAATAAATTTGATGAATATTTCATGATATTTACATAGTGACATAGTGGTCTTGGTTTTGAAGTTGGAGATTGTAGCCAAGATGGCCATAGGAACATGCAAACGGGTGTGTGGGGGTATCCAAGATCAAAATACTGTACTTGAGGATTGCCATTTTCGCAGGTGGGAAGATCCTGCCTATAGTGCTTATGGTTTTGTGATGTTTTGTGATACTGTATTGTTTATTTATTGTTGATGTGGCATTCATGTATATAATAGATGAATGTGGCATGCTTGTTGACTAAGGTGGAGCCACTTTTTGCACTGGGTGGCCAAGAGCTAGGCCCCAGGTTGTCCTCGAATGGGAAAGCTTGTTCCCCCTGTTAAAGTGTAATTCCTTCTCATGACTTGTGCTGCTTTCAGACTAACAATGATCCGAGCTTTGAAGCCCTGGGATCATATATTTTTTGTCGCCATCTGCAAGCCACAAGTGCTTCAGCCAAGCTGCGCCCGCGCTCATCCTCAGCTCAAAGCGGGGTAATGAGGGGACACAGGTGCAGTATACTTCTCCTCACCCTTCATGGCTTCCCCTACTGACCTCCAACGATCTTCAGATCTGGGGTTGCTCATTGTGGTCATTGAGCACCGTACTCTTCAACCCCCAAGCTCCAGTTGTGCCATCTCTTGATCCAAATCAAACCCTGAAGACTTCGACATCTGGAATCAAGCACGTAACGGACAGGAAGGCTCACAACAAGCACGCCGCTTGCGATTGGGAGGGTGGGTCCACAAATCGCAAAAACACGGCCACTTATTATACCACCGGCTATACTACCTTCAGATGAGTTTGGGCTGCTAGTGTCTTGAGAGTTATCCCAGGTTCACTCCCCAGTCAAGTGCAACCTTGAGTTTTTTGTTAGACTTACAGTATATAACCCTCCCAAAGTGTGTATATATATGTCGAAACATTGAAAGCCGACTCCTATCGGCACGAAAGGGCGTCTTTTCCTAGGCTTCAGCCGAGAGTCCCTGATATGTCAGCCGAACGATCGATCCACCTGTCCTCTGAGATGGATGGCGTTCACGTGTGATTTTCACACTGACTATAAATCTTTCAAGACTTAAATTTTCGAACGTGCTCTGTTCCGGGAATCATCGGACCTTGCTGCTCTCCATTGGCCAGCTCATGGCACTGCACATATTCACAAAAATCTTTGAGCAAGCCGCCAGCTGTCTTGGTGCGTGACTTGCACCAGCGAACGTATCCGACCTTCTTGGAGTCGGTGCTGGAAATGAGATCATGATACGAAACACTCTGGTTGGCAAATTGGCCAAAACTCACAAGTGTGCGGCCCCATTCGGCCAAGCTTGAAACACCATCAGGAAAATTAGATTCAAAAGCAGCATGGTCAATTTCATAATCAACTGGGAACGGAATGGTGCGGCCTTTTGGCGCAGTCCAAGGTCCTCCCTCATAGCCAGGGATGTCACCTTCCCACATGATGGTGTAGCCAGCTGGGGCATCATCAGTGGAAGCGGAAGCGTCTGCTGCCTTGCTGGTAGGTTTGCCCTTGAAAATGCGCTTGACATTCTTGGAGCCAGCCTCTGTGGCTTCACGACGCTTGGCGGCATCCGTCATGGCACCTGCACTCTGGACCACGCTGAAATCGCTCTCTGACCCTGGTGGGCTTCCGCTGGGACGACCGGCGGACAAGGTGTCCTGGAGTGTTTCCATAGCCACACCTTCAGCCTGAGCCTTCTGCAAGAGGCTCATAAGCTGTTGCTGCTCCTCCAAAGACATGGGCATGGTCAGAAACAGCAAATGAAAGTACGAAAAGATGAACAAGCACAAACCAGTCTTGAGCACACAAAACCTCTGCACATATCAAATTCTATTTCGTGAAACTGGCTTCGGCTTCAGTGATATTGACAGACACTCACAAAGATGCAAGACATCACATAACACATCGAATCTCCCAAAGTGATTCTATATTATGTATCTTATCTTGACTACCCCGATTATCACACTGAGCTTTAACCATTGAGACTCATGTTCGGCACTGTGGGTTCGTGTCGATTTTGCCGACGGCGGTCTCGTTCTGCTGCTTGCTGGGCAAGGACAAAGCTTTCGGGCGAGATCTGGTATGTTGACGACCGGATACAGGAACGCAGCAAATCGATGGGGTCTTGTTGATCTTTAGTTAGTCCGTCAGCTAGCATGCGATTGGTGGGAAGCCATCGTATGATGCCCTGAGTCAAACGAAGAGATTCTCTGATAATCACTATATCAATGCTAGTACGACGGTCATCTACAGCCGTTGGTGCTGAAGGGGACACTAGGTGATCATAAAGAGATTTGCAGTCCGTGGCCAATATGGGAGGTCGTCTGGCCAACATATCTCGTCCGTCACGTGGCGCGAAGGCTCCATCAAGGGCTTCGCACAACAGCAAGCTCACCCATTCCACTGAACCACTGGCACTAGCCATAGCTTGGCTTTCGGCGCCAAGTGTTGAACTCACAGCTCGAGACAGACGGTAACTCTTCCACAAAAAAGGGGTCCAAGGAGCAACAGCTGATTCATTCAGGCTTTTGTCAGTGAATCCCAAAATGTAACCAGCTTGGGTGTGGTCCCCTCGGTTTGCCCATGCTGCGTCCGAATGTCCGCAAATGCGTAAGTTCTCCGGCGGAATGCATTGAAAAGTGATTTCCAGATCCTTGTGCTGACGAGCTCGTCTAATGGCGTTGTTGGCATCTCTGAGATTACGGATGGTGGGTCTTGGAAAAGACTGTTGGGAGATGCTAGTCTGTACCGCCAGGTCAGGGCGGCTTTGCGAGGCTAACCAGTTTAGTCCTCCATTGATCGCTCGCAGCACTTTGATTTGTCCTTCGTGCAGCAACGTGTCGTTGGACGCACCTTTTGGAATCGTGGCTGGTCGGAGGGACTCAGCAAACAGCTTTTGTGACAACTTGATAGACTTGGTCTTGGGGTTTTGAGTATAGTAAGTGCCACAAAACTCGCCTTCACCTACACGCCATTTCCGATAGGGAAAACGATCTTTCAGCTGTTTGACACTTTCCTCGAACAACCGTCCTGAACCTCCTACTGCCGTGTCATCTACATGTACCCCCATGACCCCACTCAGTTGGTTTTCCGCGTTTCGTAGGAAGTACAAACAAGGGTCGAAGATGGATTGTTTCCAACCTGCAGCACATGCTTCCTGATGGAAGGTTCTGAACCAGCTTGACGGTGCATCGTTCTGTCCATAAACATTACCTACAACTTCAATCACTGCATCCGGTGGAACTCCTGGGATTCCTCCAGCAGGCTGAGTGGCATATAATGGCCTGAACTTACTATCTAAGGGGCCTGCCTCCATGAATGCACCTTTGATGTCGCCCAATTGCAAATCCCACTGATGAGAACAGATCAGTTGCATCAACAAGGTCCGAGAGATCTGACTCAGTGTGGGGGATTTCAGGAGACCTTCTTGTGCTTTAGCATCGAGATCAGGATCAAGGTGCCCTTGTAAACACCATCTACTCTTGATGCGAAAAGTACTGGGGTCGGACGGGTCTATCGACTGATTCTCTTCCAGTGGTTTTCGGACGATGACAAACCGGCTACCTATGAAACGATCTGGAAAGTCCTCTTTCAGTCGAGCGGCTTTCTTACCATAGTGTATGTAAACAGCTCGTTTATCCAGGATCGTGTTCCACTCTGCCAACTTGGATTCATCGACCAGTTTCTGTAACTGAGAGTCCGCGTTGGTGTGCGGAATTTCCTTGCTGAGTTTCTTCTGTATGTAGGCTGCAACCAAGACTTCAATGGGTTGTTCTTCGGTCCAACACGCAAAAATCTCATGCTCCTCATCAGCTAGAAGGATCTCATCATCGTTTCCCTCAGTTGTACGAGGTCGAGAGAGAGGTGGTTCATCAACGGGTCCTTCCATGAGATCAACTGACCTTTTCAGATTCTCGGTGTTCCTCACCTCAGTCTCTTGGTTCAGTGTGTCGACCAACATTCGTGGAACCATCTCTCTCATCATTTCCACAAAATCATCCTCACGCATAGCGGGAGGTCTGTAGAGTGCCGCTTGACCTGCTTTCTGTGTCACGCGTCGTCGGACTGGTCCGTACGACGATGGTTCGGTCTTGGCTTCAGCAGGACCGGCACTGGAGCTTGACCCACCCACGGAAAAATGTGGAAACTCATCCTGATTCTGGTCGGAAGGTGCTGTGTTTGCTTGTGTCACATGCTCATTGGTGGTGGTTGTCTCGGTTGTACTGGGTGGGACAACCTCCATTGGAGTGTCCAATGTCGGACTGGGTTCCTCGGCATCTGGAGCCGGTGGAACGCTTACGGTCGCTGGAACAGTTGCTGGAGACTCGGGCTGCACTGATGGATAGTGGCCTGGTACCAAATCAACATATTGATGACTCTTGAATGTACCACCTTCCAACAGATCTTTTATACCCAGTAGTTCAGCTTGAGGACTTTGCAACAATGTTTTTTCTTCGGTTGTCGCACTTCTCAACTGTTCCGGAGCTACCCTGAAAATCTGTTTGCGGTGTGCTATGACATAGTTGCGACCTATTTTTCCCATCACAACAGCTGTGCCAAACCAATGACCACCCTGAAGAACATGTCCCTTTTGAGACTGGGTTCCTCCTTGATACTTCTGTTCTCTCCAATAGGCTACCAAGTCTCCAGCTTGAAATTCGGGCATCACGCGAGGCCTGGCGGCCAGTGCTCTTCTCAAAGACTGATCACTCTGCAAATCAATCACGGCCTTGCGGGCTGTGGCTCGGATTTCTTGAGCCTTTTGGATTGCAAAGTCAGTGAGGCCCAAAGTCGCGGGAACCACTCTGAGCGGTTCATCGAGGAGCTCGGTCGGGACCTCTGGATTCTTGCCGAAGACAAATTGATGTGGAGTGAACCCGTGATTCTGAATCATTGTATTCTTCACATGAGCTTGTGTCACCAGTTGTTCCCAGTCTTCCTTGTTCTCGGGCGTGTGTTCTTGTACCAGCTTGGCGAGGACATGTGCGAACCACCCACCGTGACGTTCAGTTCTCCCCAATTGCCAGTGTGCTTCTGCTGCTATGGGTTTGCACTGTATACCCAGTTGGTCCAGGTACTTCTGCATAGGTCTGCATAGGTTCTCCTAGATTGGTTCGCGCGGGGTCCATCACCAACACTTGAGGGGGTCCGAACACTTTCACCCATTGCTTTGAAAACAGGCGCTGAAGAACTTGGGAGGTCTCTTGCTCGTGGAATGGAAGCATGAGTTGGTAATTACTGGCATGATCCACTACATTTAGGGCTTTGATTGTCTGGTTGGGTTTCCAGCCCTTCAAGTTCTTGACATCGATACCGACCACCTGGTTGAACGATTGCGGACGATCGACCTGAGCCGGCAGAGGAACCCGAGGCTTTCCCTGAGTCAGGCAAAAGTCACAGTGTAATTGCCTGGCCATGGTCATGGCTCGTTCGGAGGCCTGCGCATGTTTGAGCAGGCGCACGAGGTCTGAGTTCGACGGATGACCTAAGTTCTTGTGCAATCGAACCAATGCCGACTTCACCCCCTCGTCGTCCTCCTGATCGAGATCTTTTTTGACCATAAACACATCATGCTCATGCTGATATGACCATGGAACACAACACGGCATGGCTTCGGATGCCAATTGCTGAAACTTAGCAACCGTGTTCATGACAGCTTGTACGAAGCTAGGTGTGTACTTCCCCGTGAAATGGCTCACGGAACCCACAGTGGGATGGGACCCTGCCACCTCTTGGTGGCAAACATGGTGTTTATGCTTGGGTCCTGGACAGCGTCGTTCCAGTGAGTTCATGGACTCGTGACTGACTAGCAACCTGGTGGGTTTCCGGATGAGCTTATCAGAACCGGGGATTCGGAGACCAAACCTGCAGAAATCACATTCCAGAGGAAAGCCTGTGCTACTAAGGCTTGCACTTCAGGATAGTGCCAGATCCGTGACCCTCTGGGATGCTCAAACAACGCTTGTCGTCCGGCATCCAGCTGTTGTTGAAAAAGCTGGCAGGAGAAACGGACAAACAAGCGGCTCTGTCGGATCCGAAAGGCCACTTCCTGAGGCGTCATGTCCAACGAATTGATGTTGAACCACCCGCTTTCGTCAGTGCAAGGAGGACATACAATCAACAAGTCTGGAGGATTGTCCTTGAGTTCTTGGGCCACTGCGTCTCGAGTGGCTGCCTGGGTGAAATCAAAACCTGTCGTGAGATCGAAAGAACGGCATTTTCCTCCAACTGTTTGAACCAGGGGCGCAAACCGAGGTGGACAAAAAACTTCAGCTACGGTGAGGCCTTTGTTTTGGTTCCTTTCAAGACACTTGCGGGGATCCAACTTACTCACCTGCGATCGAAGCTGGCGAACATAATGAATTGGAAGGCTCTCAAGCGTGGAACACGTCTCCTGCGGCTTGAAAACGAACTCAGTCCGAGTATGCAGAACTCCTTCCGGGATATCGTGTCTATAAAAGGCTTTACCTTTCTGTGGGTCTATTTGCTCATTGAACAACACTTCACCCGTGTCCAAGTTCGTGACCTTACGTTTCACAATATTCTTCCAAAGTGGGCCCTGCTTACCTATGGTAGGGACAGTGTGCAAAAACGAATCATCCCTAAACCATGACTGAAGCGAAGCGGAGTCACTGGGCTCTGGGTCATCACGAGCTGGTGGCACGAACTCTGCTGTCACCGTGGACGGTTCGGGATGAGTGCACATGACCTCTTGTTCAAAGTCAGGGGTGACTGTCTCGCCAATCACGTTCACGGCAAACTGACCAGCCTCATTGGTGGACAAAGGCACCACGACTTTCTCATCAAACAATGTCAACTGTTGTTGTCCAAAGTCGATGACAGCCTTGAGGGTTTGCAGCGCGTTCCTAGAGATCAGGAACGGGGCATGTCCCCTCACAATGGCTGTCCTGATGGTCCCCTTCTTGCCACCCAAGAAAACTGGTAGGCGGATCACGGTGTGGGTTGTCTCTTTCTCTCCATTGCCGAACCTGAAGTGGTTCACCTCGTGCAGCTCGGGAGGCTCTGCGATGTTGGCTGCTTTCCATAGACGTTGAAACTCCTGCAACGTCTGACGTCCGATGATGGAGCGTCCGCATCCAGAGTCCAGGATACCATATCCCGGTGAGCTCACGAGCAGTACTTCGGGAAGCACGGTGGAGGACTCCAGACGATCAGAATGTCGCTGTCGCAACATGTCCAGAGTCGACATGGGAGGCGGAACAACCGCTGCCATAGCCACAAAGTCTTCGTTGTCCCACATTGCATAACCATCAGACTTGAGGTCAGAGGCTTCGGTCACCAAGGCTGCTCCGGCTTCACGCTTGGCAGAACTGTGAGGGTGACCTTGAGAAGAACTTGCTGCTTTGGGCTGAGTGCACTCCTTCGACCAATGGCCAACTGCTCCACAGCGATGACACTTTGTTCGGCGTTTCAACTCTGCGATCTCGACGCGATAGCTTCGTTTCAAGTCTGAGGCCGCTGCGAACTTGCGGGTCCTTTGCAACTTGTTGAGCTCTTTGCGTCGGTCCTTCCAGGAGATGGCCAAGGCTTCGGCCACTTCACGTTCATCATAAATTTCATCCTCTTCAACATCTCCAGCAGAGACATTGTGTTCAGCGAGGAAGGATTCAACCTCCTTGGACAGATCGGGGTCATCGTCGTGCTCAGGACCTTCGGTTGCAGTGTGTCCGAAGTCCCCTTCAACCATACCTGCGCCGAAGTTCTTCTTTTTGACCACGAAATCCGGGTAGCAGGAACGCATGGCACGTCCAATCTCTTCCCGCTTCAACACTCCAAGGCTGCGAGCAAGGACAACTGCTTTCTGCTCATCCGTCAAGCCAGATCTATTCAAAATCAACCAGCCGCGAGCTTCTTCAGGAAATGTCACATTGACTTTCCTTTCACACTTTTCAAACAATTCCGAAGCCCGCGAAATCCAGGTCTTCAAGCTCTCTCCGTCAGCAGCCTTCAGGTTGAAGATCTCGGTGAGGGTCTCGCTCATCTCATCGCTGGTGTCCTTTTGAGGAAACCGCTTATCCAAGCGGTCGAGCAGCACTTTTTCTCCTCCCTCTTTCTGGTACGAGGAAGGATCCAGGTGTTCCACACACTCCAATGCCTTGCCTGACAACAGAGTGTATATGTAGGCCCCACGGGCCTTGGGTTGCACCTTGTCTTCCAAGGTGAGCAACTTGTTCAACACCCACACTTTCCATCTACGGTACTCTTTGGCGTCCTCGGTGTCACCTGAGAACGAACGGAGGCTTCCACTGCCTTCCAACGATGCCGCCATGGCGTTCACGTGTCGCGCTGAGATCCTACTCAGCGGGAGCCTAGGATAAACCTAGGCGCCGCTACCAATGTCGAAACATTGAAAGCCGACTCCTATCGGCACGAAAGGGCGTCTTTTCCTAGGCTTCAGCCGAGAGTCCCTGATATGTCAGCCGAACGATCGATCCACCTGTCCTCTGAGATGGATGGCGTTCACGTGTGATTTTCACATATATAATCAACATGAGGAAACAAATCAGTTCAGAAAGGATGCCTTCATGAACTCCTGTGCAACCAGTGCCACATGACATAGGATTGAATCCCAAGTCATTTGGTAAGATTCATGGATTTTAGGGGCAGGACCTTCGACCGACTTTTTCAGTTGGTCCCTCCAAACACTAACCACTCAGGAGTTACCCAACAATGATATGCTGTTTTGCAACTATTTTGTGGTCAGCTGGTAGTATAGAAAGGACACATGCCAACATTTCCCTTCGAGGGCCCTCGACCTTCAGAAATGACGTGGGGAGACCCCAAGGGTTATAGACGCGTGCGTCAAGCTTTGCGAACACCCCGATGAGACCTCTGGCAAGAGCCATTCTTTCAAAGAAACGTCTTCTTCAACTCGCCCATGCTCATGTCCAATTGGTTGCGAAAGCTCTCCTGCCACCAGCATGACGCATCCCAGCAAAGCTGTCATGTCGGGTATGACCATCAGGCAAAGCAAAATGGACACCAAGAGATTAAATCACTCACTGAACGGGATCAGCTTGCATTACAGTGCCTCGGCAGTGTGTGTGTAGAGCTGTCAGGGAACATTTTTGACAATTATGGATATAGCTGCAGCCTGACATGCAGAGCCTGAAATGAGCTAACATATTGAGTCAATTGCACCAATGGCATCTTCCGAATCTATTGTTGAATAAGCATATACAGTGATGTGCTGGAAGCGATGTTCTTGACGTGTTCTTTCTATTTGGGAATTTATCCAACACAACCACACAACGAGTACTTCAACTCCACTGGAAAGAAGCAACTTGCAAATGCTTATATGAGTTTTTGCAAGGCGAATGCTTCCAAAACCACCTTGGCCGGGACGGAGAGACAACAAAAAAAGGATTGGCTTCGTGGAGAATTTCCAGGGCCCAAGGATTGGCTGGGCCAACCCATCATCTCCTCCAGCGAGGCCAGCTTGGTATCAGATCGCTCTCGCAAGACCTCGTGGATCGAAGCGCCGTCGGTGAATCACTCGGTTTGCAGGAGTACGTTGAGTACATCTGCCGATCTGTGTCTCACTCAACAAAAGCAAGCAGAATGCCACAAACATCGAGCCCACGGGGCACTATAAGAACCCGCACACCTGTGAAGCGACTGCTGCAGGGTACCGATCGAAGGTCGTTTCTTGCTATTTTTGGTGGGACGCTGGCCGGTATCACACCCCTTCAGCATGGGACCTTGGGCCGTGACACGCTCTCTATTTATGCTTGTCTTCGTGTCTGCTATATTGATGTCATGTTGTCCGAAGCTGTATGTCAATGTGGATGTTTTTAAGTGTGTTCAACATGTATATATTGTAGCATAATATGCAAGAACCTTTGCATGAGCAACCTGATCAATTGCCCGTCTAAAATCTGAACGCACTCCGCCGCAGAGTGGATCTTGCTGGCAGGAGTCCTTGCTGGCCAAGGAGCTCTAATCTGCTCGCCAAACTCTTCCCTGGCCGTCTCCATGCCCTCTGACATCCTGGCAAGCTCACCGGCTATATATACACGTTACGCGACGAACTGCTTATCACACCCCACGAGCTTTCAAGCAGTACAAGTAGGGTGCTGGTTGCTCGCTCCCTACAAAGATTACAAAGCCCACTTGGCTCATAGAACCCATCTAAGCTTTGAGCGTCCAAAGTGGCAAACATGGATTCCAAACCTCAGGCCTCTTCTTGTATGTACGTGTATGTATAACTCATCCTTGACGTATCATGAAAGAAGTCTACATTACATGATCCAGCGTGATTCCGATTTATACCCCCCATTTGGATTGCAAAACCTTTTCATGTCGTTCATATGGTGGGTTGAAATCCATCAAGAGTCTACATTGGTTTACCTCCCTACGAGCGACCCACCCGACTTGGATATTTGTGCCACCTGCTCTCAACCCAAAAGTCCGTCCAACGGTCGCCTCTGCCCGAGCTCTGCCATGCGAAGGACCTCCAGCGAGGTCTCCTCCGTGCTCTGCTGCGCCTCTCGAAACCGATCCTCCCAACTGCGCTGGGACCTCGGCGGCGGACGCAGGACAATTCTGCGCGTCCGGCGGAACGGGGACGGAACGGAGGTGAGAACGTTGGGACTTGCGGAGGTGAACTCCAGGTGAACTATGGGGAGAACTGCAGAGATATGTGATGGGCCAATCAATGTGAACACTGGTGACGATATCTTTGCGAGTGATGTTTTGTTTCTCTCACAGTGGACCAACAATGGTTTTTGGATGTTCTGAAATGATGGATCCTGAATGACCCAAATGTGATTTTGATTGAACTGGCTGATGCAATTGGTTTCTGGCTCACTTACGCAGGTCTGCGCTCAAACATATCTGGAAATGGATCGAAGCATCTAATTATGTCATAAGGCAAAAATGATCAGGCAAACCTCTAGATTCTCGATCGCGATGATCTTAGCACTCATAGCCCTGGATTCACGTATCTCTGCCAAAGCACTGCTCTTGGCGGCTTTTCATCTGCGCCATTTCTGCTTCCAACCTGAGTATGGAAATGCTTCACGTTTCTCATTCTATGATTCTTCTGGATGAAGACAACTCCCCACAAATAGTTGCAAGTACCCGGGTCGGTGCGTCGCTTGCGGGGATGTTTGCATCTTTCTTCACCTCAGTGGATGCTTGGACTGCTGAAACTTGGGTGAGTTGAGCCAACCTCCCAGAACCAAAACTCACATCGAGAGGCTGATCCTGCTGCAAGCTTAGCCTTGCCAGCATCTCCTCCAGCTTTTCATTGGGCCTGTAGATCGCAGCAGATCGAATGTGATTGCCAGGGGGTCCAAGTGGTGGCTTTGAGACCCACCAGTTTCGCCACCAACGATCCTCCAGAATGGCCCGCGGCTCATCAAACAAACGACCTCCAATGCTCCACCTCGCAACCTGCCCCCCGGTCCCACTCAATGGGAATCCTCCATCCAAATGACCAAACGGGACCAACGGATGATGGGACCCAGCGCCGAACACTGCCATAGCACCTCGCCTGGCGTTGGAGGCCTGAAGCTGAGCCTCGATACTCCGAAGACATCACGCTTCGTGGGCACAAACCCGTCTTTCGATTAGGACGGTCATCTTCCAGGGGCCCATGGTCATCCATTTTCCACTTCCATGTCGTTCCGTGGTCGTGTCCAAATCGGCTTCGTCTCGGTGTCTGATCGGACGGTCCCCGGCCGATCAGGGAAACGCCGCCCAAGGACAGTACAATGGATTAGCTGAAGATAGGGCCGATGATCTGGGAAGAACCACATAGCCTCCCAACAGGAGGCATGCCTTTTCCGGAGATTGGTCACCATGTCACACGGCTCGAAAAATTGAAGCAAGACCCCGGGGGGAAGGAAGAAAGGAAGCTCTTCTGAGTGAATCATGTAGGACGGAAAGCCATGTAAAGTTTAAAACCATTTGTTCTGAAGGTGCTCACCTTGTTTCCTGTGTTTGGCATGGTGCTCATGCCGTATTTACCTTCAATTAGTAGCACCCCTTGCCAGTTGTCCAAAGAAACATCCTGTCAGAACCACAGCGTGTGCTCAGGATCATTCATGGCTTAGCCATTCGCCAGTGTCCTGAGCCCAACCCTCGTCACACTGTCGGGAGTGCCCTGCGACCACCCGCTGTGGTGTCGAAGGACCGGCGTCGGCCCCTTGAGTTGTTCACGCAAGTCTCGGCAATGTTCTTCTAAAGTCTCCTGGGGCAACGCCAAACCCAAACGCCCTGCATGGGGCTTCATCCGATTTCCCTACGGTCGTTGACCCGGGCATATCTTCCAGTCCCACGGACGGTCTGGAAAACATTTGATACCATTGCTGTCCGGTGGTGTTGTTTTGCTCACTGGAAATATCTCCGATCATATATTTCATGAGACTTAAGGCTAAAGGGTGTCACACATAGGACCCACTACCTGGTATGGACTTGTATCGAATCTGCCCGCCATGTGCAACAGCATTCGTTGATGGACAACAGAATTCCACGCATGTTCTGCATCAAATCGCTGGTCTCGGCCGTGCCGGTGCACCAGTTCGACCCGGGGAGGAGTTGAGCGGCTGTGGAGTTGGGAAGGGACAGGGTTCCCAGGAGTTTGGCGGACTTCAGTGCTCCCAGGAGTTGCAGTGTATGTTCATGAGTCCTCAGGGCCTTAGTGCCTGACTTCCTAGTAATCTCAAACCGTAGTAGCGCTACTCGCGGCGCTATACCAAACCTGGGCGATCGAACAGGGACATCGAAGCCATGCCTCGGATCGGCCATCAGTTGTCCGCCCAGGTGAACGAGTCGTTCGACCCAGGTCGTGGATTTGGGAGCTTTTTGTTGCCGGTGTGGTCCGAGAGACAACTGAACGAGTTGAACGACCCGGTTGAGAAGATCACAAGTTGCCTGCGACACTTCCAAGTTGCAACTCAATCAGTGGGAGGTCTTGACAGGGAATCAGCACATCAAAACGTGGCACAGAGGGCGTCGGAGCGACATTTTGAGGACGAGAAAGCGGTGGGCGCGAGCTCGGACTCCTTTGTGGCCCGTGCTACGTCATAGCATGAACATGACCGATTTGCCGGCTTATGCTTATATCTTCGTGAGAGAATACCCCCCGTCTGTGGATTAGATTCGATTCATGCAATAAGTTGAAAAAAGCCAACAAAGATTTAACAGAAACTAGCTAAGCAGCGGGTGCAGGCCTGCGCGTGCCCAGCCTGACAACCAAAAACGGATTTAAAACTAAAACAATAAAACCTACGTATACATTGAAACACACAATAGAAAAACAAAATTTGATATGTTTCTGGGGGGGAGGTGGCATCAAACAGTTTCGAAATGTTTATACAATGGTTCATCACAAGGGGACATTTACATTTCTGTGGCAATATAACAAAGGGAAAAAAAAACAAACAAACAATGGACACTCCCCTCTTTTCGGGTCAAGCCGACGAGAAGCGGAGAAGTGGCTCTTGGGGTGGAAAGCCAAGCTGGTTACACTCCCTGAGCAACGCAGGAAATGAATGGTCCCGGTTTTTGGGATGGACATCTGAATGCCTAACAGGTGGTGAACTCCACTTCCACAATCATTTCGGGAGGTGTCGCCTTTGCCTTGTTCGTGATGAGCGAGGCGTCCCCAATGCCCTGCATGTTGTCCACTGGGTACGAGAAAGCTTAAGCACCTAAAGGTCCATTCTCAGGTTCCATGGGGACCAGGCTACGCCGTGGAGGCGGCGCCTTCGTGTGTAGGGTCGATTCATGTCGATTCACTCGAAGATTTCTGGCAGTGCCACCCACAAGTCTTGACAGCGGATCATGGCGCCTCCGCCATGCAAGAAGCCAATTGTGGTCCGGGTTGACCGACTCTGGGCATCTTTGGTGGCCAATTCGGCGAAAGTGAAGCACTCGACCCCGAACGTCGCATGACAGCGGTAGAAGCCATGAAACCAATCACCAGGCACCTGAAAGTGAAACCCCTGTGAAAGACACGGTGAGAGCGAAGAACATGAGCAAAATACTCAGGAGCTGCCTCCACGGCGGCGTTGCCATGTTATATAATCTTCCCGGATGTATCTTAGCCGCTCAATGCCGTTATGTATCCTGGGTCCCACTTCAAGCGCGGTCTCAGTCCTGATGCAGGGTCACCTGCTTCTCGAGAGATGAACGAAAGCGACCTTCAGCCTGAAACCAGCGAAGGATCGGCAACTGTCAGATTTCTTGGGTAGGACTCGCACATAAATTACTTCCACACAAAGTGCCCAGGAATCACCTAGAACTTGGATTTCTAGAGCTGTCTGGCCTGTTTCACGAGATAACTGCATGATTGATCTTCCACTAATTGGTCCAAACCCTTGAATTTGACACTTCATGCTTTCATGCGAAGAACCGAAACAGCAAGATCCAGCAAGTATTCTATCCACATATTTAACCACTTTTGCTGGCTTATGGAAATGGCGGCCTTATCTGACCGTATGTTGTTCCCAAAGCCTCCAGTTCCAGCTTCAACCCAACAGTACTCCCAACTCAGTCCCTCCACGTTCCTCGCCCTGAAACCGGCGGCGCCTTCCGAAGCTGCTGCAACAAGTCCGACTGAACCTCTTCCAACCGCTCCATCTGAACCTGCAGTCCTCGCACCTGGTGAGCGCCGGAGGTCTACGCCACTTCGCGCCCGCGATGCGGATGCGCAGCGGGCGCGGAAGCGAGCTCCAGCGGCTTTTCTTAAGGCATGCGGCAGACCCCAAAACAAATCATCCACACGATCTGAAGATCGTGCACATCTTCGGGATCAGCATTGAAAAAGAACACATGAATGTGACTGCTGAATGGACCCTAAAGAATCTAAAATGGTAACCTTATAATATAGGGATCTACTAGGGGCTCCTGGCATCGCTACTAGGAGCAAGGACGTTACTAGGGGCTCCTGGCCTTACCACTAGGAACAAGAAGCTACTAGGGGCTCCTGGCATCGCTACTAAGAACAAGAAGCTACTAGTTTCCTATGTTATCTGAATTGATTGAAGAATGACCCAAGATTTCACCCCCACCGTGCCTCACCCACTTTCCCAATGCCGCCCAGAGACGTTGCTCGTCAGTGACACGTCAGTCTCCTCTGGCTTCTCTGGTCGCAGCTCGGGGGCCTCAGTCACCTGCTGAGCCAAAGCAGACATCTTCTCATCAAACATCTGCAGGCTTTCCTTGATGGACTCCTGCTTTTGGGTCATGGAGAGAGCCCGAGATTGATCATGATTTATCCGGGGTGGGCGCTTCTTTCCGAATCCCGAAGCTCATGAAGAGTGCCAAGGTTGTAGTTGTAAATGTATGCCAACATCGCTAGAGTGCACATGTCAGAAAAAACAACAACCTTAGCTACAAACTGGACCGATGCATATGGCCTCTGACCAGTTTCAGGGATCTGCACTGACCCTTGTTGGCTGCCTGCAAACTGGCCAACAAATAGATAGCAAGAACACACGATGCACGGGGTGAATCTGTAGCAACAACCAACTGCAACACCCTGCATATCAAGGAATTAGGAATGCAAACTAAGTAACATACCACTACAGTCCTGCAATTGCAAAATCTTTGCATCGTTCTCTTCTCGAACGGCACGCCAGCAGCCGTCCATCCAATCTCTATATCTTTGTTCATCCTCTGACGGAGTAGTGGCCGCCACCTGGCGAGAATTCACATGCAAGCCTCAACATGCCATTCTTGCATACAAAGAGGGTCATTCTTCCTTTGTCACTTGACTGTTGTGCTTCATGGTAGGCACCTATCGGAAGGTGCCTATCGGAAACTCAATTGCCATTGAGAATTAATCAATTGCATGTACAAGAACATATCTGACAACAAAAACACAAAGCACCTGCTTGGTCGTGTGGGAATCTGATGGCCTCATCTGTAGGAGGTGTGGCAGGTGTCGTCGGCTGTGTATCTTCTCCCAGATCCTGCCGCCCAGCGTCGACGGAGTCAGCCCTAACCCACGTCAACCATAGGGTATCGGAAAGGACCAAAAACAACTATATAGAAAACAAAACTCGCCTCATACAAGTTCCTTGCCCAGAGCTAAACACATCCCTCTCTCTCTCTCTCTCTTTCCAAATTGTTCTCGTCATACTTATATAATTGCCAAACTTTCAGGCCTTAGCTCACAGCCTATGCACGAAGGAGTGGGTGCGGAAATCACATAGATCCGGCGGAGAGGGAGTTGCGGCGAGGGACCTCACGAGTGCCTTTTTTGCGTTCGCTCGTGTGACCGTAGCAGAAAGACACATACCGGCAAAAGTTGTTGAATGAGTCAGTCGTTAGGGCGCAAAACCCCAAGAGTGCCAACATTCAAACAACTCAAAGTGTTGGTGTCACATGCCAGGCTGTGGTCTTTTCGCTAGCCTCCAAGCAAAACAACAGCAAGTTGGCATGGACTAGGACAAGCAAAACAGATTCATGAAGTTCCAGAACAGTATACAACATGCACAAATCCATTTATATACCAAACAGCCCCTGCAAACAATTAATTACATATGACCACATTCACCCCTGGAATCCTAGTCATTATAAGGGTAAGTGCATCCCTGAAACCACCCGGTCATGTATGTCATATTGCCTACATGGAGTGCGGCTGGGCCGTCACTCTTGTGGTCTTGCAGGGTAAACGCTTGGACCGATGAAAGGTCCCCGTGTGGCCGGTTCTTTCCATTTGGGCCCCAACACGGGATTGATCGGAAACAAAATCATGCGAACGCAATGTGCTGGAGAAATGAGATTAAATGATCCTTGCCACAATGCTCTGCCATGCTCTGCCAGTCCCTCTCCCATGAAACAAAGCGCGCTGAGCACTACTGCCTCTCCTGACCGCTGCTGAGGATGGGAGTCCTGCGGAAAATCCATCACTCGCTGCGTTCCCCACTGCGAAGGAACCCAAATGGCCGAGGTTGATTCATCTACCCCAAAGCACATTCCGAAGCAATTCAGGGGAGGACTACTTCCTGACTGACCGGTACTTGAGTGAACTTGAGGCACTTAATCTTACTTGTTTTAACTTATATGATAAGTTCGATAAGTAAAAATAAGGTAAACATTAGTAAAGATAAGTATAAGTATGTAGGATTCAGTAGAACTTTAAAAAAATACACAAGAAACACAAAAAATAGCGGAAACATGTTTTGTACACGTTGTGGGGTTGTACGTATGTGTGTTGTTCGATCTGCAAAGCTGGAACTGCTTCTCCCGGATAGAATCATACCCATCATGATTCTGCATCGCCTTCAAGAAGCCATCAACTGCTTTCAAGTTTTATTGCGGAACCCAGGAATGCTTGACAAACAATCTGGGCAATATAAAATAATTCCTGGGTCGTCGGTTAATTTCGTTAAATTCAAAAACTGAATTTAGTGACGTCGTCGAAATTACGAAATTATGGTGACGTCGTTGTGCCCTAACGCCCCCAGCCAGCCAACACGCTGGCCAGCCAGGGGCGACCAAAGCTGAAGCCACGTGTCCACCTGCGCGCGAGAAGGCTCTGGCTAGTGGAACTGGAGCGATTGCAGTGGGTCTTTTGTGGTTCACACAATTTTTGTTCGTGTAGTTTGTTCACCAGCAATAAGTTTGGTCGTTCGTACAAAGATCAAGAGCCAGCTCAGCAAGCACAATGGATTTTTGCCAGGGAGGGAAAACTATTGCTTGAGGTCCGCGACACAAAGTGCAAGACCACCATTTCCTCTGACTGGGTGTTTTCCTCAGCTTGGCTAGTACATGCAAATTTGACAACACGCAAAGGAAAGCTAGCCAAAACCATTTTTTCCCAGCGTAGTTTGCCGAGCTACAGCCTGATAGAGCCCCAACAATCCACTTTCAAGGCCGCCAGGCCTCAAATCCTAGTTCGGCGAACTAGGCCCGAAATCGTTTTTGGGGACCCTTCTGAAAAGGAGAGCTTCGTTTCCAGGCCCAGATGGGGAAACCCGACGACTAACTTGAAACAAGCTCCTGTAGTGAAGCAAACTCGCGTTAGGACCACATGCTTCACCTATGAGATCGGAGAAGTTTATGGGTTCGATTCCCCTTGCCCCCCTCCTGTTTCCTTTCGTTGGCCCAAAATCTTGCTTCAAGACAAATTTGACAACACGCAAAGGAAAGCTAGCCAAAACATGCCAAAACCAATTTTTCCCAGCGTAGTTTGCCGAGCTACAACCTAATAAAGCCCCAACAATCCACTTTCAAGGCCGCCAGGCCTCAAATCCTAGTTCGGCGAACTAGGCCCAAAAACGATTTGGCCAGGAAAGAACCAGTCAGGTTGGGCGTGAAAGGGAAAACAACCAAACCATCACTACTTCAAGTTCCAAGGATCTTTTCCGTCCATAAGATCTGGCTGAATGGTCCGTCTCTGAGAGGCTTTGGGGCTAGGGAACACGCTTGGCCGAACGCGGTCCGTAGGTGCTGTTGGGCACTCATCATGGCTGGAGGGCCGCTTCATGGGGGGCACAACTAAAAGAACTTCAAAACTTCCCGACCTCGAAATTGGGCAGTGTTTTTTAGTGGTGTGGAGAGTGAGCAGGTGAGGCATGACTTCTTATTTTTTTGCAAACTCGAGCCCGAAAACTCAAGCAAAACTCCAACTGACTGACATCCTCTTCCCCATGCAAATCCAGTCCTAGATCCAGTGCCCACGCCCGCCCGCGCCTCCAAAATCTCTGCCAGGACTGTGAAGTCGATGAAGTGTGTGTGTGTGTGGTTTGCGTGTGTGTGTGTGTGATTAGTATGACCATATACCTTAATTTCAGCTTGCTCGTTAATTTCAGGTGACGTCGGTGACGTCGTTTTATATTGCCTAGAAACAATGTGTTTACACAATGTTCTTTTAGATTCCATCTGTGCAAGTCTGACAAGCAGTGTTTATAGTGCCAGCGTTTTGTGCTTGTGTGTGTGGGTGGGCCTGCCGCGTGTTTGATCTTCAATCAAACTGGTTTCCCCGAACAAAACCCTTTGAGCAGGCAAACACATGCAACAAGACATTCATCGAACAACATCTTCAACAAATGAGCCCTTGTTTTGAATATCTCAGACCTTCAAACTGCTGTGTTTCACCAGAAATACGTAGAAATACGTAAACATGAGTAGAAATAAGTACAAACATAATAAGTATAAATAAGTACGTTGGTAAAAAGTTAACTATTTCTACTTATTTTGGCTAAGTTAGATCAAGTAGCATTGGTGCAAATCTTGCACTTATGGAACTTATGAATTAATAAGTTGAACTTAAGAACTTGTACTGCAACTTATAGTACTTGTGGTTGTACTTAACGTTTCTTAATGTAGATCAAGTAAGTACAAAAGGAAGTAGTCAGGAAGTAGGGGTGGCCTGGCTCAGGAGCGAATCGCCTGCTCATGCGTGCCTCGCGGTTGCAACGTGAGTTTAGGGTACAGGACCAAAGTTGATCGCACAAACCGGATCCAGTGGTGGGGTCAGGCATCAAACAAAAGGTGATTTGCACGAGGATTTGCCCAGAAATGGTCTTTGGCATTGCTTTCCCAGGAGCTATATACAGTAAGGGGAGCCAAAAGTTCTCTCCATCCTCACGAGCGGTGCCGCGGGTCCTTTCGGGCTGCGGTGTCGCCAAAGATGGGTCGGAGACCAGGCAAAAGTCATCCGGTTTGTGCTCTTCTGCCGGTGCCTCTGGCGCCTGACCGCGGGTGTGTCTGCAACGGCATTGGCATTTGGCTGCTGCGACTTGGAGAGGGTGAGAGAAGCCAAAGAGAAACCCCTGCAAATCATAAGCATGGCAGGATGCTGCCAGGTCCCTCATTTCAGCTCCCTAGGTCTCAGCATCCAAAGGCATCCAATCAGCTGCAGAAGTCCCCATGGTCCAACCTTTTTCTGGTCCAACACGAGTCTTGACCTGGACCTAGTGGATTGCATTGGCGTCTCCGAGTCTGAATGACCCCCCACACCGACACCTGAATTCAGGGGTGGTGCATAATGGAGCACTCTGTGGGCATGGCTGGTAGACTCCAGGCTCCCAGTAAACTCTGTGGATGTATTGAGTTTCAGTCGTTCACTTGCCTCTGCTCATGTCTGCTCTCCACACTCCCAGCTCCAAACCAGTCAGTGCTCTTCCCCTCTCTTTGAAACACGTCCCCGCCCGTCCTCAGGAGGTTGTCCATCGGTTTCCCCCGGCCTTCCCTCTCAGCACCTGTGGCAAACTCCCCCGGCGTTGGGCGTCCAAGAGTAAATGGCCCACTAAGTGGCCGAGCTCCAAATCACTGCGTTGCCGATCGCCCATGGAAACCTCCGTTCGTCGCACACGCGACAACTTTTGACGTCGGACCCGTCTGACAGGGAGTGGACAAGTTGTAAGGTGTACGACGTACGGTCATGAGTTGTGATGACTTAAGGTATATAGTATAGCAGTTATAGTAGTAGGAGGGCTGTCGTCACCAGCCCAGCCTTTTTCATGTAAACATTTGCCAGGAGCTCTACCGAAGCCAAGGGCAGGCAAGTGAGCCGGATCTTCAACTCTGTTGCACATAACATCGCGGACCGGTTCAGTTCTGGGAAGTTCTAAGGCCACACCGGCTCAGCGTTTGATCAGTGCTCCAACCATCTCTAACCTGCAGCACTTTGTGGAGACAGAAGGTTGTGTGACTGCTATAGGGGCGGATCATGGAAGCCTCGTTGACACTGAGTTTATCATGTTGAACTCTCGGTAGCTGAAAATCATCTTGAACATCATAAAATCACAAAAAATATCAGAACATGCTGGCTGGACTTTGGTTCACTTCCTTCACTTCCCCCACTCCCGCCCTCTTCCCTCCTTTTTTCGGATCTCTCTCTTGGGCTTCTCGAGGTCGTGCCTCCGAGCGCTTCCAGCGGAACAAGTTTCCCAGGCTGTGGCGCGGAGACTTCAGGAACACGCTCGAGCGCGCCACGGTCGAACTCGAGGGCCGTGGCGACACCGCCGTCGTGGAAGACTCGGAGATGGACGAGGACTTGGAGAGTTTCCGAGGCATGCTCCTTGGTGCGGTGGAACTTGTTTCAGCACTGGGGCTCTTTTGGTGAATTGGCGCCATATCCCACATTTATAAATTATAAATTAAAAAAATGCAAAAAGAATCAAAAAGATAATAACAGCAGGAGATGATTCAGCAAGGTTATCGCCGATCGCTTTTGAGGGGGGGTCGATTGTGCAGATCTTGGCCCAATTCCCGAAATTCATGATCTCTCTTAACTAAACTAAATTTGGCAGTTGCTTGTATGGAAGAACTCGCACAGTCTCGCACATTTTGATGGGTCACTTGTGGGAGCTGCATGGAATCAGTTCTATCAAGCTACTCTTTTCTCGCGATTCTTAGGGATTCGTCAGTATCCTCAACGGTCTGTCCGACCAGTCCCCAGCGAGTCGGTATCCATCGCCCTTCTCGGTGCAAGCAGGAAAAACACATCCATGGTCCATGGCAGCCCCGCGCTTGGACCTGAAAAGGCCACCCTGCTGGTCTAAACATTAATGGGTTTTTCGTTGATGAAGTGCTTCTCCAAATGTCTCTCGCGAAACGATCCCAGCATCTTTCGCTTTTGATTGTTTCATATTTTTTCTCTCCCCCTCTCTCTCTCTCTCCAATCTCTCATGCTTTCTTCATCTCAGCGTCGGATCACACTCGATGACATCCTCCTCGTCAGCGATCGACACCGCCGACGCGCGCTGCTTCACCGGCAGGCGCAAGGGAGCTTTCTTCGCGATGGGTGACGAGGGCGACGAGGGCGACGTCGGTGTCGAGTCGCCAGCGTCTGCACCTGGCGTCGAGTCGCGGGTGGGAGCGGCGAAAAACGCATGGCCTTGGGATTTGGTCTTGGATGGTAGGGTGCATCAAAAAATCCAGCTGAGAGTCTGGCTGACAACTTGGTCAGGACCGCAAGATCAAGCAAGGGGCCTATATATTTGATCCTATTGTCGTTGACATACAGTGACATGGTTATCTGATCAGGCGGTTTCTGATGTAATGCTCAATGCTATGCAGTGGGAGCCTTGTATGGGAGCCCTAAAGCAGCAAACACCGACTGAACACCCGTATCCAAGTAAAATGCATGAAATCCTCGAACCATGTCAGTCGTAGAGGGTGTTAACATGTTAACATAATCTCGTTCTGGTTTTGCAAAGAATCGGCTTGGAGTTTCATCTGGACTTAGTCAACCACCACACCTACCACACCTGGTCCCTATCTCTCAGTCCCTATCAAAGGATCGGGAGAGCACCTGCAATGATCAAGCAACCCCAGCCCACCCCAAAATAACAACCTATATGATGGACATCATTGGTTAACTAAAACTATATATGTAGTAAATATATGTGAATTATAATTGCAGATAATTGCGGATTCCATATTGTCGTATTCACATGTTCTAACACTCCCCAGCCCTGCAAACGCTTGTGAAAGACGCTTTCAACATCTCCAGTGGCCTTTGAAGTGGAAACGGCCAAAGGCGGCCGCTGCCGTGGTGGAGTGGATGGGCAGTTGCGTCATGGCCTCCGTGACTTCCGACACATTAATCGCCTAGGAGATCGCGTGGCCATCATCGGCGCGGTCCAAAACCCTTGGAGGCACCAGGTCCAACATCTTTTCCAAGCACGACTGATGGGACTTTCATCTATCTCTATATACAGATACATATATTCATATATATTTATACATTGACCCCGGGATACCCGGAGTCAAGCCCCCAATAGAGGCTAAAATGCCATATAATACATGGAGTGTCTGGAATATGCTATGTGTCTCTGCCTGTTTTGGGAAGTCCCCAACCGACCGCCGCCAGCAACAACAACAACTTAAAGGAAGACAGAAAAAAACACAGCACGAAGAAACACCTAATCATTGTAAGTCTACCTGTGCCCATTTGCTTGCTCTCCGTCCTCTCTATCTGATAGGCTCCACCGAAAACCTCCGAGAAACCAACGTCCTCACGTCCCGACTCTTGCCGCCGAGGTGGCCGGTGGCGTGATGGAGCTGGTGCGCAGGATGCCGCGCCGCCGGGGCGAGGGAGGACTTTCGACTTCCTCGCCCTTCCGGAGGCGATACCTGAGGAGCGGCTCTGTCGGAGCGGCTCTACGCGAGAAGAACAACATCATCTGCCCACGGTCCCAGTGCCTGTTCGAAGGGTGTTGAAAAACCGACTGTTGGAGGGTCCTGGTAGGGAGATGTTGCGATGTAGTCATTCCATATCAGTATCCACAGCCTAGGCCTCTATTATTTGAAAGAGGACCAGCCATGGCAGCTAAGTCTGCTGGTGTTGAACCCCCCAAGCTTCTTGGATTGCAAAAAGATTTGTCGGTCCTGGAACGGAGCATGGAGATTCTGCAGGTAATTATTGGGTTGGACCCTACTTTTGGGTTGGGTACCACAAGTCATCGGAATGTGGTGATGATGATGATGATGATGATGACGATGATGGGTTCCTCTGGTGACGCGATTGGATTGACTCCACTTCCATTAGCCCAGGCAGTTCAGTATTGGATGATCACACAGGCGGTTCTACATCCTTCTACCCACTGGGCACTGTGGCGCAGCCACCCCATCACCACTCTCAGCACCTCCACATCACCTGCTCCCAGAATACTCCGCTAAGTTGGTCTCCACATTGGAGGGCCGAAACGGGCTCTGCTCCGCCGCCGCCGGCCGACCCTGTGAGCGTCTTTCCACCACCGGTGGAGTAGCGGCCTGGAAGTGGAGGAGAGCCCGGCAATCCAAGGAGGACCATCCAAGGATTACCCAACCAATGCCACTCAGTTGTGTAGGTGGAAGTTTTCGGTTGAAGGTCCAAAAGGTCGCAAGTGTCGGCCTGCTGTGGATTTTTGAGGGTTTTTGAGGATTCAATGGAGGTTCCTCAGGTTCATCTTTCATTGGAGGGAGGTTTGATGTCCTTATCCAGTCAGGCTCCATTTTTCAGGCCTCGGCCTTGGCCTTGTCGACCCAGTAACATCAGTAACTGAGTTGTTGCAAACACTTACCACGTCTTCACCCAAATACTTCCCCTCCTGTTTCACCCTCTTCGTCCCGCCTCACCCCTGGGCTTGATCTGCAAGGCTGCCTGGCTGGCCAGCTTCTGGAACTGCTTCTGCCGCTCCGCCACTGACTCCGAGGCCACCTGATTCAGGTGAGGGTGGTGAGAAGCCACCCAACAAAACAGTACTCCATCCAGGTGTTGGGCCTCTACTGGTCCTGCGGGTCATGCTTTGGAATGTGCATTTGACCAAGGTTTAAGCTGGTCCTTGCCCATCCTGTCACGGTGTGCGAAGATCATTTAGATAGAGGTGTTCAACCTGATAGCAATGGCCTCCAACCTACTAGCGATGCTTCACCGAGCCATCCCACATCAGCCATCCCCAGGCTCTCGGCCCCACCTTCTGCCGGAGTCGTTGGATGGCGCGCACCAGGATTGCTCGCTCCTCCTCGTCGGGGATCCAACGAGACTCCTCTAACACGCGCTGCGCCAAGGATCCCAGGCGTGGTGCGTCGCCTGCGTCGCCTGCGCGGCGGACCGGCGGACCGGCGACCGATAGGGTCAAGGGCCATGTCTCATGCTGTCATATATCATGAATCATCAGCCCTGGCTGCCATCAGAAAGTCGTATTCCCCAGTACAGTAACAGTATATACCTCCGGTGTATACCAACGTTAACTATATACATCCTCCTACTTCATGGAGCTTGGGGGCTACAGTAGGGACAAACATGTGCCAACATGTGCCAACTGTGGTGGGAAATTCAATGTCAATGGCTGGACCAGAATCTGAACCTCTTACCACATGACCTACCTTGCTTGGACACCTGACCGTTTGCTTTGAGAAAAACGCAGCACCAGGAGACCTCAAGCACAGGTGAATCACACCCAAACCTCCAGCACCAAGAACAAATGTATATTTCCAGGGTGTTTTTAATGCTGACATGTTTTCCTGGGTGTTGAGGTCTCCAGGCCTCGATACCGAACTTCAGCTCCTATATATATATATATAGCGCGTTTCAAGTTTCAAGCACTAAGAAAAAATAATCCACTAAGGAATCCAAGGAACGTGTATCACATGTGAAGACTCCTCCCTCTTCCCGGAATCTCATGGACATGTCCATCTGAAACGAAAAGCCATTACCTGGTAAACAGCATCATGAGCCCAAGGTGCTGAGTAATTACCAAAAATATCATAAAATCTATCGAACCGTCAAAGTTTCTATTCTATGTTCATACTACAGTACATCTGCAGGAGCAAAGTCGGGCCGACTCCCTAAGTCCTTCCGAACCGAACCTTCGGCCATGCTCCCTCGCTCGCTGCTCGAGACATCAGGGTCTGATGGCTCCACCTCAGCCAAAATTGGGGCCTTGCTGGGCTTTTGGTGGAGTTCTTCAAAAGTGATCAGAAAACGGATGAAAAAGGCCTTGGATGGCCTTGGCCTTGGTCCTCATTCTGGTGCTAAGACTTCGTTCCAATGTTCCATGCAAACTGGAACCATGTGTCAATCAAACAAAATCAAAAAAAGGCCGATACAACACCTGATACATCATAGTACAACCTTCATTGATCCCTTGGCATGGTCCAGTCCTCACGGGTTTCATACTGTAAGTTCGCATGACTCCCATGGAGCCCCAGTTTCTAGCTGGAGCTCCTCCCCCAACTGACTTCCTCAAGGCTTCCCACAGACTGTCATCGGTGCTGAAACGGAATCCGACGATTTCCCGACGGAAACCGAGTGAGATAGCCAGCGGACTCTTTGGAGGCAAAGAAGATCGAAGCTTGTGTTCCATCAAATGTTGCAGGTGCAGGATTCTAGTGATTGACTTGAACATGTGTGTATATGTTCTAAATATATATATATATATATGTATAATATAGATACCAAAATACATACGGAGAGGAACACTTTAGAAACTTACACCCAGTCTAGATTACAAATACAAATTAACATATAATAATCCATCAACACTCGAAAAATCCATCCCACAATCCAAACCGTCTCGCGCCTCCTAAGTCCTCGTGTCTTGTCGTTTCTACTTCAAGGCACCAGGTCTACCTTGGGCAGATCTCTGTCAACCATCACCTATAGGAGCGGTCAAACCATGTCTGACCCACTCAACCCAAGGGCAGGCAAAATCGGCTGCTGACTTTGAAGGGCTGCACCCATCGAAAACAAATGTATGTCATCTGTTGTTTTGAGGTTGTATTATCTTATATCATGTTGATGCAAAGGACTACATGGCACTTGAAAGCCTCTTCACCACCAGAACCGCTTCAAAACCACAGATCGCCTGCTTGACGTACTGAATGCATCTAATAACAGTAATATCTGGAATCTAGAGCAAGACAATGCAAGAAGCATCTTGGAAATATCCTTCAATCCCCGGTCCAACAGGTTCAATATCCTGTTAAACACACTGCAAAAACTTGTCTTAAACATTTGTCCTCGGAGCTCACCGTCCCAATGCGAAGCCTCCCTACCACCCTGAGCGGAAAGAATTCCTGAAGTCCTACCGGACATTCCCAAAAGTCAGTTTGGCTCCGCGGGCAGTCTGACTGCAGTGCGTTCTGGAAGGTTCGCCTGAACACCACATGGGCTGTAGAGGGAAATCGTCCATGCATGTCCATGTCATCAGGTTCGGTCTCGAGCGGGCATAGGGTGTTTTTGTTGGGGACTGCGACTTCCCTAGCGATCCGGGTCCAAGCCTCGACCCCCGACATCGGCGACGGGTGGAACCGGCGGGGGCGTCAGACGTGGGTGATGTGTTGCAACGTGTGCTTTGGCTACGAGGTGGTTTCAGGACGTGCAGTACATGATTCAGTCGACTCTCTTTTTTCACATGTCAGGGGGGGCATGTTTTGGGCAGCCACCTTCCACCTGGTGGACACGTCTTTCTGGGTCTGTTTCCTGGCCGGTCCAGCCTGTCACGATCTGAAGCCGAAGGATGCGGCAAACGGCGTTTTCACCAAAACGGCGGGTGTGCGACCACGGGTGTGACCAACGGCGTGACCCACCGCGGAGCTCAACAGGTGTGGCCGGGCCCAGGTCTCTCCAGCGAGTTGGTCGAGATGGCGGGTGTCCGCACCGGATCCTTCTTCAGTGACCCTCCACTCCCAGCCAGGCAGGATTGCAACTTAGCGTTGCCATGAAATCAATGGTCATTGTTTTGGGGTTGTCAGGTAAGGTCCAATGTGCAACTCATGGGACTTTGCTCTTAGCTCAGCTACCAAAAGGAACCGGGTGAATACATGTGAATACCATTGTTGCGATCTGAAAGCACAATATGGAATAGACAGGGCCCTTTCTGGATAATATTGGATAATGGGTGATAATGGATATCCGATTTTTGCCTGCCAGGCAATGTTTGATTTGTGCGGTCCATGAAAGCCTGCCAGACCTATCAAATTCCAGCAGTTCAGTTGGTTTGACTTGTCGCTGTTGACCGCCTCAATCCTGGTCGCTTGAAATGAGCCTCTGCCGAACGAGAACACTGCTACCACCGAGGCCGCCACTTTGAGGTTCGGCGTGCCGGCACCTGGTTCCCAGGGAGCCATGAGTGTTCAAAGGACCTCGGAGCAGCTTTTCAGAAAGCCGAGCCTGTCCGAGTTTTGAAAAAGGCACCAGGTCTACCGCTGGATGAGATGTTGGGCATGATGCCAGATCTGATGTTTTTGTGGAATTCAGGTTGAGCTCCTCAGTGAAGCATACTCAACATTTGTCAGGTCTTTGCTTCAAAGCTGCCAGGTCGAAAAGCCACAAGCATTCAAAATGTGCGGGGTTCTCCGCCAAGGGTTAGATAGGGTCTGAAGCCCCGCGCAGGAAACCTGTGATGTATTGTTTAAGAACAGCTCCCACGCTGCATTAGGTGGAGGCAGGATCCATGGACGGCTGGACGGCAACTTCCAGTCTATGCCCTACAAGGATGCAAGAATGTGCCTGGACCCGTCTCTCCCTCTCTCTTGCTGTTCCCCCCATCAGCTTGCCATGAGTCGATTCCGTTCAGGGTCCATCCCAAGACTCCCGGCTGCAGCTCCGAAACGCTGGCAACAAAGGAGAATGTCGACCTTCACATGAGGAGTCGCTTGAGACACTTCCCTGGCCCCAAAAGCAGGCAGTTTTTACTATATTATTATATATATTCTTCGTTTAAAGCTATCATCAGCTATATCATGCTATATCTATTACGGAGTGACCTTGACTGATTTGGACCACCCACCACCCAACATACAAACAAAGGTCGGACAATTGGTTGGATTTGTTTTGGGCAAGTAGATGTGGATGTCGATTCCCAACAAATCCCAAGAACTGGATGCCTGTAATCAAGATCCAAAAGAACGCCTTCGGGCAGCGGGATTTTGGACAAATCGACCTCATGAGAACCTCGCCAGAACATGCCTCTAGTGGTGTGACTCATGAATTAGAGGTGCTGTAGTTACTGGTACGAGCTTTGACTGATCCTGGTTTTCTCTACCACAAAAACCACACACTAATGACTCTTGCGAAACAGCAATCTGTTTCCTGGATTTGAGGTTGTTTGAGGGTTTGTGATGTCATTCATTGTCGTTCTGATTGATTTTGTTACAATGCATGCACAGGCGTCCTCCATGAACCATCATTTCGATCGAGGTGGGCCAGGGGGCTGTCCAAAGAAGACCACAAGCAAACCATGAAAGTCCGAAACGGCGATGTATTGCTCGACTCCACTCTCAACTCCATTACCCATACACTCCATGTATGGCATATACACACATATATATATATATGCCAACATTGAACCCCCTGGCACCACCCCAACTGATCGGCAGTCCTATGGCAGTCCCATGGGGTGCGTCTGGGTTATATCTTGGCATGTTGGACGACTCGGATCCCGCCTGAGGCCGCATTTCTGCCAAAAAGCTTCCCATTTGGGTGCGTCCTCGTCAGAATCCGGGAACAAGCAATGTTGGATCGGTTCGGTCGCAAGATGTCACATGATCTGCCGGCAAGTTTAGCATGGCCAGCACCGTGCAAGTAGACCCATGTAGACCCCCTGTGTAGACCTCATTGTCGCATCCGATCTCCAACCTGGATGGTGGAATGCACATCGACACCTCGTTTGGCTCGTTCCACCGCCTCTCGACTCGGTCGGCTGGCGTGTCCTGTGGAGAAGTCTCCGTGTATAGCGCACTCACCTGAGCTCGCGCGGTCCACTGGGCGTCGGAAGGGTTGCAAACTGGGACCTTCACAGCAGCTGTTGCTGCCCAGGTGGCCAGGTGGAGACTGGTGCAAAAACGAGGTCCACATGATATGGTCCACATCAGATCTGGAATTGATGCAGGGGACGCTTCATGATGCTTAAAGGCAACCTTTGCCATTCCAAATGTTCTCCCCCCAAAGGCTCATGGACCCGAACCAACTGCTACATGTTGGTTCGGTCCAAAACCCTAGTTGCGAGGGTCAGGTCAAGCCCAGCCCCAGCTATGAGGGTCCAAATGAGCCATTGGAGCAAAAAGGCATAAAAATGTGACTTCTCCGCGATGTCGAACTGCTCGTCACCTCTTCGGCGTGTCGTTTCTACCTCCGATTGACGCCAGGTGAAAACAATGGCCGGCTGAGCCATAGCCGGCTGAGCTTCCCTGGCATATGGAAGGCCGACTCCAGAGAGCTTCTCCAGACCTGCAAGGTCCTGCGAGAAAGGTCACATCCCGCTTGAAAAGAGTTGTTGAAACTAATTTGTCTTTTTGGGGGGTGCATTTAAATTTCTGTTAAACGACAACCACTATCATCTGTCACTTCAAAACAGATGGTCTTTCAGCACTTGGAAGATCAACGTAGAAGTCGCATTCATAAGAAACAGGGCTATATAGAAAGGCCTTCCATGTCAATAGTTCTGAACTGTTCTGAAGTTCTGAATGGAATTTGAATGCAATCTTCTGCCTCCCGGTGTGCCACGCCCTCCACGCCCTCCAGCCGCCACGCCCTGGCTGGCTGCCACTCCTCAGAGCGGATGAGCACTTCGGCCACCGGCAGCAGCCGCAAGGCGGAGGCGTCACCCGCCAGGACATGGGTGATGACCTTGACATGGACAACGGGAGTGGAGAGGATCCGGTCCGTTTTCTTGTTTTACTTTGGGGGGCGGGACAAAACTGGAGGGGAGGAGATTCGGTACGAGTCAGTTCTCTGTCAACTGATGTTCGGTCCAAGGTGCCAAATGCGGGCCAGGAGGGGCTGAACGTACCAACCACATGTGAGAAACACGTCCGAGGTGGACAAGGACCCGTTGGGAGCCTGAAGAATTCATTTGGACTTGTTGATTTGGGGCAAACCCTTGTTCCCTCGAACAAGGACAACCGCAGGAAAACAGCACTTCCCGCGACGATCGGCGTCCGTGAATCTCAGCCAGCTAAGAAGCTAACATCTGGAAACCAACATCTCTGAATGAATCACGTGCAAACCTGGCTTGTATGAAGATCGCTTCTAATAACAAGTGCCTTACTACTAGTAACAAGAAGCTTCTAGTAACAAGTGCATCGCTTCTAGTGATAATTTAACATTCAACATTTCATCCGATGAAACAGGAGCGAGTCACCGTCCAATTGCTGGTCTCCATGGCCCACTGGCTCAAGGTCACCACCTGACCGTCGCCAAGCGCCGGTCGACCGACTCCTCGTCTCTAGCGGCGTTGGGAACAACGCGGTGTGCCGTTTGGAAGGGGAGCAAATGAATGAGTTTGAAGACTCTCTCTCTCTCTCTGATGGTTTTCCCCTGTGTGTCCTACGCAGTGCAGCTCCAAAAATAGATGTCCTTCATTGACTTACAGGATGTGATCTATATAGTTGGTTGAGTGTTTTCAAAAGGTCTGCAATGGTTGTACCTGGAATAGGCCTATACATAACACAGCCATAGCAACTTTATTTCATAACTTGTTTTGGGCAACTTTCAACTTCTTTTGGTAACTTTCAACTTCTTTCAACAACTGCGTTTTAAAGTTACAAGTTTCTTTTACAACTTCTTCTCAGTTACAATGCCCAAACAAGGAACACAATTACACAAAATGTTGGTGTTTGATCAGTGTTCCGGCGACAAACGGTTGCCATGTATAAATATATATACAAGAGGAAACTTGTAGCTTTATACTAGTGTTCGGCCAGTGTTCGGACATACATGTTGACAAGTTGTAAACGTTTATTCAAAACAATGTTGAGTTATTTTTTGTGTTCGGAAAGTTCTTCCTTTAATCTAAGAGATTTAACGTGTGTATAAACAAGATTGTTGCTGCGGAAAGATGCGGTTTGTTTGCATGCCTTTGAAGACCTTCTTGAAAACGCCCAACTAGTTCGGAGAGCGGTATCTGCGCGGAGCCTGTAGTACCTGTAGTACAGATCTCGTGGCTATCTGATGCGGGGTATGGATTGCTCAGGGCTCTGCGGTATGGAAGCGAAAGGATATGGGCAATGGAATGAACAAGACTCTCAAAGGCCTTAAGTAAATATCAGCAGCAAGTAGTATAGCACAGCCATGCTATAGGTAGCAAGTCCAGCTTTGAGGCAGCCCAAAAGGCGTCCCGAACCCTGACCAGCGAGCTGTCTCCAAGACAATAACCGTGGCCCGTGGCCATTTTGCATCGCACTTGGTGATGAGAAAGGTTACACAGTCACAAGCGATGCAAAAACCAAAGAAGACAACCAAGGAAGTGCTTGTTGATTCCACCAAAACGTTCAAAACGACGACCATCAACGCCGAGTGAGCAACGTCTTTTTTTGATTGCATCATATGATATCATAT